TGTGGGGCTGAGCGTTGCTTCAGCTGAAAAGTCCACGATTCAATCAAGTTCCAAATCAGGAGGCATCTGGAGACAGCTGAGATTGTCTATAGGGATGCCTTTTGTCTGATAGTGTCTGAAGTTAACTTGATACCTTTCACAGATCTGCCACGCGACAGGCAGTGTTTTGCTCAATTTGAAAACGCCGAAGTGTCTTGCTGCACACCCCTTCCTGTTTTTAAACAAAAATGCGATCTTCAACCAAGCACAAGAAAAGAATTAAAGTCCACTAATGGGTCACAGGACATTGTTTCCCTATCATCTGCGCAACATTAAACTTGTTGTAAGAGGGGATGTCATTTGCATGCGCCAGGATAAGTACGAATGACTGGCATTTAAACAATTGAATAATAATCAATGCGTGAGATTTGCTCAGAAATCAGATAATCGATTAAACTCACTTTTGCCCACATCAGATAAGGATCACGTGGTCGCTTTTAGAGCCAACAGACGTTTTGTGGGAAGTACATATCCACTTTTTTTCCTTTTTTTGTTTCTTTTTGAAAACTGAAATTCTAATTTCGAGCCAGATCTTGACTACACGAAGCCACGAGTTTGTTTCAGTTAATGATGTAATTCACATGGATCATCCAAGCAAGTGTACAACTTACGATCGCAAATTTTTGTCTCTGAAAACAGTATTTAGTAAATCAAGGAAGTCTTTAAAGGGCGTGTGTGAGCAGTCTTAAAAGCCAAATGAGTCGCCTTCCGGTTGCCTAGTGCTTCCTGTGGGACGCCCACAATCAGCGGTTGTTTTGAATGTTGAAAGAGCTTGTTTTCAGTTCCGAGGATTTTCATGAGGTCCTTTTGGCCAGTCAATTTTCGGTGATACATTTAAGGTTTGTTACTTTAAACCACGCTGTCAGTTTGTGAATTCCACGCAATGAGCCCGAAATGCAGTAGATATTTCAGCTTCCCACTGTGCCCACATGACCCACAAATTTTCACCCAAATTATTTATTAGTCGTAAAATTATTAGTCATTCGTGTTAGTCACGGGCAATCGTAATCAGGAAAGTCCCTAATTTTGTACTTACTGTCCTTAGTGACATGGAAAGAAGGAGCTCGAATCGTAATCCGAGGACGATCATCAACCTGCAAATACAGCGTGTCCAATTTTAAAAATGGATTGGAGATATTTCATTAAACTCTTGTGGATCGGATAGCTTGGTTGTGCGTACCTTACATGTTAGTTTGGCAGGATCATTCAAAAAAAGAACTAAGTAGGACTTAAGAATGTACTTTCCGGGGCTTGAAGTGGTTGTTGGTTGAGTTCATCAGACTCCGAGGTGTTACAGAGCAATTTGATTAATCTGTAAACAATTTTTATCGATTTATAACATTTGTCAGCTGTTCTGTGAGTAAACCGTCGTGTTCTACACGCAGTCTAACGTGGGTATCGTGTCGGTTATGCATCGAGATTTCACTTCAACAAAGTCAATTATTGTCCGTTGGCGTGGTGACGATGGATTAATTTAGCTGATTTGACGTTAATGATATCCACAATTTGCCGGAGTTCGAACCTGCGACGCAACGTTGCGCAGGTCGTTTTACTGTGCATCTCCGCGGCTTTTCACGCACCACGAATTCTCACCGACTCAAAATATCTGCGTCCGAATTCGTGGCGATTCCTCATGAATGTGGAATCCAACGTCGACTGGGCCTCTTCAGTAAACTAATTGGCCTCAATTACAAGCCACCTTAACTGAATGGCCTTCTTGGACTCATATTCTCGCATTCACAACGCGGCATGCATTGATTTGAGAATCATGAGAAGCTTCAACAATCACCTCTTTTGTCGTGGGTTCGCCTGAAGTCCTAAGAACGCCCCGCTCCATGCGAAACTGATTTCGTTAGTGATTTTAAACGTCTTTGAGGCTTTTGGGAGCCCCGACATGTGGACTTGAACCATCGCGGGCCCAGACACTCTACACCGACACCCGCGAGACATCTCAGTCTAGACCTGTTGTGTGAGTGCGTACTGCGTGCCCAATGTAGTTATTAATCAATAGTGTGGGTGAACTAGTTCAAGAGAATACCACTCAAATAACGGTACCAGATCCCTTGCTGACGCTAGCACCAGCCTTCCCACTCTAATGCAAGAACAAGACCAGAGCTCGTGTAGAGAGCTTTAATCGCGTCAGCCACGTGCAGAGAGGGTTGTCGATAGTGAAACTAATTCAAGTCAGGCTTGACCTTGACTTGATAAAAAGCGTAACAAAACAAATGTTAATGAAATAGTGTAAATTGTGCCCGAATTCAACGACTAGCAATCTTGGGGAATCGTGGATCCCCAGCACAAATGCAGCAACCACATTATGGAAAGTAAATCGATACGATTGACAACGTGTTGAGGTGATGCACACACGAGGCCTAGGCGCTGTTTCTTAACCTCCGTCTGTTGGCTTGCCAAAACGCACACTCTGTTACCGCTCAAACAACCTTGGAGCCACACAGCTTAGTGGAAATCTTATCAGCGAGCGAGCGAGCGAGCGAGTTGGTTGCCCCCGAAGAGGAGTTCAACCCTTACCTCCGTGCCACCTACCCGGGCACTTTGTTTATGTGCCTACACAGGAGTAAACAACTTAAAAATAAACGCCTTCTTTTTCGTATAATTCCCTTCAACAAAATTCGCTGTTTAAATGGCTTAGTTTTCCTGTGACGAGCCTGGGGCGAAATTCGTAAAACCAGGTATAAACCAGCCATCGTGATTGGGGGGATTTCATGTTTTTGAGTCATAAACACCCCCAATTTACAATCTAACTTGCATATTCAACGAAGGCGTTGAATAAATAATTAATTAGGCTGCTTCGAAAGAGGTTGTAGACCGGTTTATTCTCGTGTTTGAAGTTGAGTTTGATTGTACCAATAATTGTGATGATACGTAGAATTATTTGGCGCTCCAGAGCAGAACACGAATCCATGAATAAGTTAAACCTCAATTCCACTGAATTAAATGCCTTTTTTTGGAAAATTGTGAGATACAGTTTAACTTATGGGGGACCAATTGGCTGTAAATTTGCACTTGTTGATTCGTGTTTCTGGGAAGGATGTTTGCATAGGATCCGAGCCGTCTGGAAACTGTTTTAAATAGCTTAACTGCTTCGCCCTGTGTTTACTTAAATAATGCATTTTAAATCAAGCTGTGGCGGCCAGCTAGCGAACACTGTAGGCAAGCTTGAGGGCGCACTGATTCGATCGATTGAGCGCACTTCAAGGTCCGATCGATGGTCAAGCGTTTCTATAGCAGCAGACGCCTTGGCACGCTATCCACCCTGACGGAACCCTTCAACTTTCTGCACAACGCCAAATTTCCGGATGCTGTCGGACTCTGGACGATGCTCTTGAACTCCCATCACCTCACGGCGGCTACGTATCGTTCTGCGACAACCCTTCCATTTTTATTAGCAAAAACTTTATCCTTTCTTCAACCTGGCCTCATCCATCAAGCCTCTCTTTTAATCGACATGGCCACATCTCTCGACTTTCTTCGGCCTCAACTCATCCGGCTCATCCGGCAGATATTTTCGGCCGATTCTGTCCCCTGGTTGTCGACTGTCAACCAGATCGAAAGACGTCAATGGTCTTACGATTCGGCATTATGCACGACTTCTTCAGCGACCAACCTTTCAGATGTCCAATTGGTGGAAAAGGTTGTATCTGCAACAAACGACGATGCCAAGTGTTTTAGCTACCTTCAGCGTACGACAATCCGCCTAATTTCGATTGCAGAAACCTACGGCCTACCTCTCAAAATCCGCATTAGAAGATAAGGTTAGCTGAATTATTTTGCTAAGAGAGAGGGAGAATTTTCAGTCCGGCCCACATTGACTGCCACATCCCAATCACGCGAAACCTACGGCCTACCTTTCAAAAACCCCAGCGGATAAAAAGGTTCGCCAAATCCTCTCAAGTTTATTCATACCTCTCAATCCGGTAGCTCCAGCCTCCGACAGAGGATTCCCCTTTTCGCAGCACGTTGCCAGCCGCGAGGATCCACAAATCCGCCTTATTAGCGCGATCGATTATCTTAGATTATCCTCAAACCTAGGTCTCGATGTTAGCGCATCTACGCATCTGAGGTATAAATGCACACGCGTGCACCCCACACACGACACAACGACACCAACGTGGTTGAGCCCTGAAGTAAACGGTTGTGTCCCGTCCTCTCCCGTCTTTTCTTCATCGCGGGTTTCAGGGAAGCATAATCGGGCCAGGGTTAATTCCGTAGTCGCGGCGTGGTTCAAGAACTACGCGTTGACTGCGGTCTTCCTCTTTCCTGATTGGCTGGTGTTGGCGTCGGAGCAGTTTAAGGACGTATAAACTTATCTCCAAATTCCTAGTCTAAATATTCATCATTTAAACAAATTACTTAGCACGATGACAAACTTCCTAGCTATTAAACTGACACTAAGATGTTTTGTTTAAGTCAGAAAAAGGCGGCATTTGATAACTTTGAGGGACAACATTTGGCGGGAGAGGGGACAGGTCATGAGTGGACTTGAAGTGTGTGATAAAAAGGAGCCCTTAATGAAATAAACCAAAACACACAATGCACTGCAAACTGGGAGCGAAGTTGTTTGATGTCGCACAATGCCACATGCCCGCTGAACACGCTGTCCTGAAACTGGGGTGACTTACGAACTCAAACAATGCAATTAAATTGCTGACTGATTTGATTGTGCTGATCAAAAAAACTGTAGCGTTTTTTTGTCAAACAAAGGATATATGAGGATTGAAACATGTGTCCTTGCAAAAACATTGTCTGAAGGCCCGGTGCGTTGTTTTGAACCACGCCGGGGCCACTGCGTTGGATCTAGCCCGATTCCGCTACCCCGGGTACCCGCGAAGATGAATAAGACCGGGCAGGACGAGGCATAATTGTCGCCAGATGGGGAATGCAACACTCGGCGTTATTGGTCGTTGTCGGAAGACGTTCGAGATGATTTCGCTGCGGTGGATTCAACCTTCTTCCTCCAGCGGGATATCTGAAAGGTTGATCGGAAGACAGGTGGCGCGTGGCGCCTGAGCGCTGGAGTCAGGTAGTTGGGGCCTTACGACTTTGTTGAGAGTCGAGAACGAAGCCGAGAATGGCTTAAAGAGACCTGCCAGGCAAGCGTCCGCTAAGATGAATACGGCCGGAGAGAACGAGGCACGACTGTTTACTAGACACCTCAACGCCGTTGAGTTTGGTGACTTGACAGTTGAGTGGACTGGTAAAAATGCTGAAGTCTGAATGGTCACGTGGGTAGGGCGAGTGGAGGGGGGTACATACAAAGGAGTGAATGAGCAGGCTGTCCCAGTGACTGACGGGCACGCCATGAAAAGAGGGACATGTGCGGTACCTTCCCTCACAACTCTGCTAGTTGACAATTCGTACTGACCCGAGAACAGGCTTTATTTACACTTGGTCTTCCAAGTCATTTATAGCACAGCGCTTGAGTGAATATCGATCGCCAACCTGTTGGGGATCCACGATTCCCCAAGATTGGTTTCTGATTTTATTTACATTAATTTATTAACATTTGTTTTGTTACGCTTTTATCAAGTCAAGGTTGACCTTAACTTGAGATAGCTTTCAAATTACTTTCGATTTCACTTTTTCTCTGCACATGGCTCACGTGAATAAAGCTCTCTACTCGAGCTCTGTTCTTGTTCTGGTATTAGCCTGGGAAGGTCGGTTCTAGCTTTCAGCAAGGGATCTGGTACCGTTATTTGAGTGGCCTTCTCTCTTGTTACGGGCAGACGTAACACAACCGTAATCGACAATCGATGGCGTTCGATCAACTCGTGAATACGCTTCACTCACTCTCCTTCGAGGAAAGTTCACAACAGGAGTACAAGTCAAAACCACAATGAATTTTGAATCGCCCAAGAGGAAGTGCTACCGTATCTCAAAAAATAAAATTACTTAATTACTGAAATATAAGTTAGTAGGATGATCGACATTGGATATCGGGACAGATTAATAGTTATGTAAAGGAAGGAATCATTGTTCCAAAATCGTCACCAATAACCTTCATTTAAAAAAATTAACCAAACATTAATTGCAGTGGTCTTTCCCTACAACGACATTCATGTTAAATTTCATTGCTTGTAAGTGAATATTGTGAGATACGACGTGCATTCCTGATATCGTTCCAAAATAGTTATCTATTCGTGGTGAGGCAATCAACGGCAGTTGTGGGCCGACAGCAGATGCCAACGACCTAAACCTTGTTTAAGGTATTCATTTGGAATCTTAAAACATAATACCGAAGAAAGTACTTCGAAAACGAACATTCTAGAAGAATTTATCAACGATCATGAAAGTGCACATTAACACATTGTCGTAATTTTCTAATGTACTTAAAAATAACTTAGTTAATAGCACTGTTGAGAGATTAGCAGTTGCATCAGCCCGCTTCTTACTTGATCAAGATCAAGACCTTGACAATAAGGCCAAGAAATTCTTATTATCAAGGAATTTTGTGGCAAACAATGAGGGACGTAATTTAGGTGTTCAAGAAACCTCTAATAGTTAAATTATTTTATTTATCACAGAAATGCTAGGTTACGCATTTTCTATCATCTCGGTATCAACCCGAGTGCCTAGGTAGTGTACCGTAATTTGGAGGTACACCAGAACATCAATCCTAGTCACACGTGATAATCACAATCGTTAGTTGGTGTGAATTGCGACCTTCTCGTAACATTAAGCATTAATGTACTCTAATGCCAAAAATTCGTAGATCTATTAAACAAGAATTAGACAGAGAGGATCCTTATACTACAACAATGGTCACAGTCTAGATCTCCAAGTGGTTTTAGGACAAAAGACCGCCTTCCAATAAACTAAAACGTGAATAATAGCTAGGAGCTCTCTGCGTTCTTGATAGAATAGCGTGTACCATATTACAAGTGTTTGAATTGAGTTATTCGACTGTCAAATTTGACCTATATATTTCACGAAAGAATTCTGATTGCTGAAATATTCTGCAAGGCATTTTTTTAAAGTTTCGACAATGTATTATTTGGTGTGCCGTTAGACGGGATCTGTTGAAGACCTTTTACCGCGAGGCTAACCCAGAAAGACAATAAGTCCAGAGAGGGTAGGCACGACCGTTTACTAGACCGCTCAACCAAGTTGTGTCGTGTACAATTACGGTTCAGTGGACATGTACAAAAACACCCTGGCTCTGTGAGGTCACATGAATAAAACTGGTGGTGGGACATGCACAGGTGTTAATAGACCAATGGCCTCACGTGACTGACGGGCAGATTGTGAACAGAGGGGACATGTGTGAGGCTGCGACGACTGGGTGTTTAACTTGAATCAACACGATTCACTACAGATCCTTGTACCAACATCACTTTCATTAATTTTCCTTGCGGAAGAAATTAAAACCGAAAGCGAAGACAAACAAAAGGCAAACGGCCAACTCTTTAAGACGCTGCATGCATATTCTGTTGCTGCAGCGTGATGTGAAATTAAAAATGGAAACATCGTGGTTTTGTTTACACGTTATAGATAAGTAATGCACGAATTTATCTGAAAATTAAATCGCTCTTTTCTTTAAAGTCTAGAAATATTTCTTTTGACAACACAATTCGTATTTTAACATGAAAGGTCTCTCACATTATTCAGCTCTTTCAAATTTACGTTAATCACAATAGGTCATGACAGTTAATTAAAAGCTTTTATTGTCTTTTTCTAGCTTGAACATTTTTTTCAATATTTTTACTTGTCCTTGGTTTTATGACAAATTAAATTTCATTAAAATAATCTTGATTTGTCGCGACTCGATGACGACAAAATTTGCTCCCTTTTTAATCACAATGTTCTACTTATTTGCCTCTAATACGGTATGCACAGAAGAGCCTTATGCGCTCCCTAGATACCATAAAACGTGTATATATCTAGTGTTTGGTTGATTTTTGGATCGTCATTAGAAATGAAATCTTGTTTAAATTGTCTGACTGTCCAAGTCGTTCTCCATTTTTAATCGAGGTACTGGTAACTCCTTGGTTAGTGTTGTTGTTCCTGCAAACGTTCACTCCATCTGTTTTTTTTGTTGCAAACCTTAAAAAAATATTGTGTGATCTAGACCTAGCGTTGTGGCTTCACATTTGGTTCGTTTTTGTACAGACGTTTTGCTCGTTCGCGTTTTTTATTTGTACGGTGGCGTGGTGGAGTTGTGTGCCTTCTCTTGAATTTACTTTATAATAGTACTCGTCGAATACTCCAAACATTGTTCTACCTGAATTCCAACCCTTTCTTCATCAAAGTTGGAATTTATTAAGGCTAAAGACCGCAATCGTCAGCTTCCAATTCAAACGCCTGAAAATCAACGTTTTTATATGTATTTATGCTGAAAATCAGGGAGACCGGGTTTTGAAAGGAAAAATCTGCCTAGCTAATGCTCCAAGCACCTATTATTAGTGTTTGTGCGTTGGAAGAGGCGAGACCGAGTTTCACTAGCCAGACGTCTAAATTTGCAAAATGCACATAAACAGTCGCTGATAAGGCGTCATGGAGGCTGGATGAAGTGGCCTCCTGACTTTTAAAGTTACTGCTGCTGGTGTTTCAAAACGCAAGGTTTGGATGAAGCCCCGTGCATACACTGTGGGAGAGGGAAGCTTAGGCTTGTTATGCCCAAAATCATTTCAACTCCAGTTTCAGTTTCAATGTCGTATGAAAATCAAGATTATGGAGCCCGACCACGGCGCGGAAGATATGAAGATTATGGTTCACCACCAAATCGTGGAAGATCGAGCGAGTATCTGTAAGCTTGCTTCATTAATTTTCCACCAAATTAGTGTGGACCGTTAAATAGCGCTTCCGATATTTCCCCTTGAAGAACTGAAGAAAGACCTCGTCGCCCCATCTACAGAGGTGAAATGCGTCCGCGTTACCGTGAGTATGAAGAAATGAGTGAGCGGCGTCCACCACCAAGAAAGGACTATGTCGACAGGCGCGCCGGAGGTGGTAGTTTTTATGGTAACGCTCCACCACGTCGGCCGGAAACATCTCGTCCCTGCAAAGTTCTCGGTGTATTTGGGCTCTCTGTACACACCACTGAACGTGATCTGTACAACATTTTCTCATCGTATGGTCGGGTCCGCGATATCCAGATGGTCTATGACAATCTCACAGGTAGTGATTTCACTTTTTCTGGCCACAAAGCACCGCAACAATGGCGCTTCATGATAGGATCAAAAACTAGCAAGGCGTTGGCAAGGCTTTCGTCCAAAACAATCAAGACGCATTGCCTAATTCCAAGTTCCGAGATTGGAAGATCAAGGCTTGGGTGTATTTCCGTTTTAGCGATTTCGGTTTTCATGTTCATCGGTAGTTGTTTGTCAAGTTCCATGCTTGTCTCCACCTAGGTCGGTCTCGTGGTTTCGCCTTCGTGTATTACGACTCGACGGAAGATGCCCGACGGGCAAAAACCAATTGCGAAGGGGGCCTTGACATTGATGGCAAAATTGCACGTGTCGACTATAGTTTGACCACTGCTCCCCATAAACCTACGCCGGGTGTTTATATGGGCAAACTTAGGACGTAAGTTCCCTTTGTGTGACAATAGAATGCTCTTGACCATTTACAGTTATCCAATTGCTTCAGTAGGCTTATCTGTTATATTATCGTTATCATATTAGTTGAGCTCTGCATCTGCACGAAACTTCCATTTGTTAAACTCATGCACTTTCAATGGTCGCGGTGATTTCACAGTATTATCCTAGCATATCGGAACGATCACTTCAGCGTTCCTCTGTTTCTCAGATATTTACGATGCAGTGCGATCAAAATTTTTTTTGTTTTAGTGGCTTTGACGAAGATAGACGAAGGAGCAGACCATACGATCGTCCACCTAGATACAATCGTTATCCTGGTGACGATGGTTCATACGATCGGCCGCCTTCGCGCTTTGATAATTCGCGGTACTCCGTCAACTACCAGCATGATGCGCCACCTCCAAGACGCTCTTTGCGTGACCGGTCTCCGCCACGCCACTCTCGGCACGTGTCTCGCACAGGCGAAAGGCGGCGAACCATTTCAAGCAGCCGCTCCCGTTCGCCTCCACCCGTTTTCAACGGAAGCCGTAAGGTGTCTGAGGGACCATCGGAGTCTCTACGCAAGTCTGGCACCACGAGTAGTGCCGGTGGTGGCGGGAAGGCGGTTGATGAGTCTTGGTCAGATGCAGAGTAGGCCACAGTTGCATGTGTTTATATGTCTGTCTGGTTATAATGTAAAGCATTTATACATACATCGTGTATCGTTAGATTCCTGATGTTTTTTATGGGTTCTGGACCTGGCGTTTTTGGTCTTCTGATGGGTTGGTAGGAGTCGGAAAAACCGTGTATATTGTAGCGTTCACCTCCGACCACAGCGGGAACGACGAAGTTCCTTGGCTGGTAAAAGCATCAACTTTCCGATGCAGGATCAGACGGGGCCCAGTAATACTTCCAAAAGTGCCTACTTGTTTATGCTTTGGGCGACCTTGCCAGCAACCGGAGTGGATTGCCGGTAGCAGAGGGCGGTCGACAAGGAAATAGCATTGAAGAATGCTGCGTTCCCAAGTACTTTCTTTCCCAGAAATCATTCGACTAATTCCGGTCAACCTGAAGTCTGCCTCTGGGTGCACCACGTCCGAATGTGTGGGTGTGGAGGGATCAGTTAGTCCACTAGTCTATATTGGGGAAGCCCAGTAGGTGATTTAGCGTTCACTTGCTTCGGTCTTGCTTGCCATGTTGTACTTGGCGGCTCCGTTACAAGATATCAATTAAAAACTATTGGGAGTCGTTCTGTGGATCGTGACATCACCCATCCTCTTGGCAACTCCGCAAACCAAACCGCTTTTTCCTAACCCCAATTAAGTGGTTTGCGTTCTTACATTGCCTCAACTTGTGTTGTATGACACATTGGTTGTTTCATGTTGCAAAGCATTGCTTCTAAATCACTTTGCCCTACTTCCGCCCCTGGTATTATGTTTTCAATGACCAGAATAGCTTCTCGGCATAGCGGCACTGCAAGGTCAGAGGTTGGAAAAAAAACATTCCAAAACTGATTAAAGTGTCGCAAAGCAGCAAGCGCTATTCCACCTAACAGGGAGGATGGGAGCTAACTGAACATGAAGGCGTTACGTCAACATTAATCGTGTTTCACTGTGGCGAGCAGCAAGCAAGCTTAGTTAGCAGTCATAAGCGAACACGATTCAATCGACTTGCGTGAATGCACTTCACGCAACTACGTGCGTTCATACATTGATGCTCAGCGAAGCAATATAAACGCACTTGTTATCCTGTAGAGACACACTCCGCTACTGTATCAATAAATAGGCCGGGCTACGCGCTATCTGCACTTTGGTCGGTCTGTGTCAACGTAGATTGTCGGCCCTGGTGTGGTTCACCAAATTCGCACGGGGGCCCGCTGCAAAATGGTGACCTCGCTACTGAACTCGTTTGGTCTTCTGCAAGCTAAATATGAACCAGTCTGACCATTCGTTATGCTCACTCCGACTCACTTCGCTTTTGCGTGAGTTTACTACTGTTCTCAACCGACTCTCGCCTGTTCCCCCAACATTTGATTTACTCAGCTCCCGATTTTTCCATCTCATCCACCTCGAACAGCAAACGTAACTACAGCACACCGTCGACTGACCTTTCAGAGGAAAAACAGGTCCGACGATTCCATTCGACTCGTTTGTCACGCCTGCGTTCCCGACGCGAACGTTTTTCGACCTTTCCGACCTGGAAATTGGCGATTTTCCCTAACTCAACCACGTATCGTCCTTTGCTCCAATCAGCGCCGGACGACGCCAAATCTCCAGACGCTGCCTAGCTTCTTGATGATGAACACCGATTCCTAACACATCCCGGCGACGACCAATCATCACAGCCTCATCACTCGACTCTCGTTTTTCTTATTCTGGCCGCATCTCTCGATTCAGCGACCTCGACATTTGACGCCTGCTTGGCATGTCTCTTCAATCCATTCTCGGCCTGATTCTCGACTCCCAACCAGATCGAACGACCATGCGATTAGGTATCATGCTCAACCGTTCCAACGATCAATCTTTCAGCTATCCAACTGGTAAAAAAGGTTGTATCGCCAACAGCGATTCATCCCGAACATCCTCCGACTGTACAATCGCGCCAAGCGTATCATTCACCATCCGGCGACGACTATTCGCCTAGCTTAATCACTCGTGTTCATTCATCTCTAAGGCCTCGAATCGCCCACGCCATATTTACGACCTATCCTTCAGTATCGCCGATTCCTTTTACCAAGGAGGAGAGCTGTGGCGAGCAGCCAGCAAGCACAGCTAGTAGTCGTGAGCGAACGTGAATGAACCCCGAGCAACTACCCGCGTTCAGAGATCAATGCTTAGCAAAGCTATACAAACGTATCTGCTACCCTGTACACACACACACACCATTACTGCATCAGTAAATTAGTTGAGCTACGCGCCATCTGCATTTTTCTATTCTTCTTTCGGTCGGGCTGTGTCAACGTTGATTGTCGGACCTGGTGTGGTTCACGGAAACCGCACCGGGGCCTGCCACGGCAATTTATAGACGACAAGCTTTTGGTAAGTTACAACATGGTCGCTGCAGGTTACTAAATTGGTTTATTAGGAAATCACTTGTGACAGTTGACCCTTTAAAAGGAATTTATCACATAAATGGCAACTAGATGCCACATCGAAGGAAGATTCTTCAGTGACTGGAGGGGGCACTTCTACAAGGGAAATACAAATACAACGTAGGAGACTTGGACAAGCAACGCAGTAAATAATTCGGAGTGTACAAATCGAGTATTTATTTTGGAGTTGACAAATCTAAGAGAAAATTACCCAATATAAGAAGTTATAAAATTGAAAAAGAGCAGTGGGGAAGAAGGGGGCCTGAGTGCATAAATACTTTCACAGCTAGACGCACATGTTAAACGCTGCCCCGAGAAATTGTTCAAAACTCATGGTAACGACGCCCCGCCTTTGCATGTCAAGCGCACTGAAGCTTTTTGTCAGGATCTAAAAAGAAAATTTATTGATGTGCTGACGGGAATGCAATCTTGTAAAACTCAATCGTAAACCTCGGTTTTGAAAACACGGCTAGAACAAAACTTTGGGCAAAGAAAAGAAGCCATCAACACACAGAACGCCGTCGAAGAGCACCACGTACCATAACCAACTTTCTTCCACTTAATTGCGCAGGATCAGTTGTGATGCATGAATGATTTGCACAAAAGTGCAGAGAAAAGCTAAATCCACACAGTAGATTATTGACCCATTACTTGGAGGTCAAACTTGCGGGTCAGCAGCTCTACAGCTACGGCAGGGTATAAACCTAACAGAATATTATTATGAGTGAAAACCTATTCTAAATTATAACTACTACCAATTTAATCAATTCAAACGCTTCAAATTACAATTAAGAGGGCGCCAATATTCGACTAAATATGTACCAGAGCAAAGTTAAACTTCTGGAAAACATTTTAATTTGGCACAGGATAATTTCGAACAGTCATGCATGTGTTAAGATAACCTAAAGCCATAAATTAAATGCAAATGAAAAAAGTGAATAAAGGGTTAAAAAAAGAATTACCTGAAGGCAAACAAGGATGTATATATACTTGTCAAATCCGATTTTTCCTAGACGCTGACGATCGAACCTCATCATTAGCCAGCTTACGAAACGAGGACTAAGATTATAACCGAAATGGCTGAGAGCGGAAGAAAATTCCTGGAGATCGATAGTCCCGGAACGATCACGGTCATGTTGGTAAAAGAGATTTTGCCATGCAGTTATGTAGTTAAAAAGCTGGCCAAATTCATTGCATGATATGGTGCCGTTGTTGTCTTGATCAAAAATGGATATCATCAATGATGTACACGTGATGTCAAACGGGGTGCCTAGTCCTGAAACGATATTAATGCAAAAAAAATAACTAACCGTTACTAAGAGCGGCCTGGAGTTCTTCGGCGGTGATCTGACCACTCCTATCCTTATCAACTCTACAAAATAAATGAGTTTAGAATGTCACACCTTTGAAACATCTCAACTATTCTCTGGTCCATCTCGAAAAGCGACAGGCACAAGCAATCAGGAAAAAATGCTATATCAACAATTGGCCCGTTAAAACAAAACAGCATCCGAATGGAAATACTCAGTTGAACATTGTTTGTGTAAATTTATAAAATAGGTACATACGTGTGCAAAACAGCAAATTAAAGCGAATCGATGACTTACGAAGCACCAAATTAAACCAGCGCTAAAAGCCAGGAATGTTCGCTTACATCAAGTTCGCTCGTAACTTCACTTCACACCTAATCTATTAATCTTAGAACGGGAGATGACAGCACTTTTTTCCACACGCCATGATGCATACTAGAAGCATGGTTCTTCGGCTTTCTTGTATCCTTCCCTCATATAAATATTTCACTTAGACACCACAAAGCTGCCAAAACATGCAGAATGGTTTCTGTTGGAATGAAAGCATAGAAAAAAAGCGCAATTTTCCTATATTTTAGTGCAAATAAGCGTGGAATAGACATAAATCAGGTGAAACAAAGGTAGGCCTTGATTAAATCCTTGTAGTGAAATATATAAATTCAACTCCAATAACCCGGTCGTCACAGCCTCACACACATCCCGTTAGTCACTGGGACTGCCTGCTTATACACCCCTCTGTGGACACCACTACCAAGTGCTCCAGCCTTATGACTATTCAGACCATCTGTAGAAATATCGAGCCCTAATTAAAGGAAGACGTGCATTGTGGCGAGCAGTTATCAATCGTGAGCGGACGCAATGTGCGAGCACAAGCGAACACAGTTCATTCGATTATTCGAGAATGAACTCCACGCAACTAGCTGCGTTCAGAGATCAATGCTTAGCAAAGCTAATATAAACGTATCTGCTATCCTGTACACAACACACTCCGCCGCTGCTTTAATAAATTTGTTGAGCTACTGGTTATTTGCAGTTCTGCTCTACTTTCGGTCGGGCCACGTTAACTTTGATTGTCAGCCCTGATGTGGTTTCTAAAACCACACCGGGGCCCACTACAGCATAACATAACAGGCTTTATTGACCAATTACAAACCAGAACCACAAGTCAGGTGCCGTTCATCAGAGTCCACCACGCTGGCTTCGCCGCTTGTTATATACTGCTACACATTCGTGTTTTTGTCTGGTTCGCTGCATATCTTCTCGCATGCTATTAGATCGCAGAGAGACAGAGGATAGGTTGAGGCCAACGTGGTCCGAAATGTCTGCGCCTTCAGACGCCCTGCCTCCCCTTCAGGGTTGAAGCTGTCCCCAGCTTCTGGCTTGGTTCACTGCGCTATTGATGAAGTACAAGATATCCAGTTCAACACGCCCCGACACCCCACACCTGGAAGGATAGTGGCCCAAGCGAATAGTTGACGAGGGACTTTGCTCTTCTAGACTTCCAGGAAGGCCGCTACATTTATCGCAGGTTCCTTCTCCACTTCCAGTCCAGCTGGCTCCTACTGTTTATGTCGTCGTCGTCTTCGCTGAATCGCTAATGCCTCTTCAGATACAGAATTTCTTATCCCGGGCAATGATTATGGACCCAATGTATGGACATCGACAACCGTTATCACCCTCAGCTGGCATTTAAGGGTCTTTGTCTCCGTTGTCCATTGTAGGGAAAGGGCTGGGGTCCGATTCGTGTTATTCGAACACATCCGCTGCCACCAATGTAGAATACTGGGGGCCTAATTTGAAGCAGACTGGTACATGACAACAGGCTTTATTGACCAATCACAAGTCAGAACCACACGTCAAGCTCCGTCCATCCGAGTCTACCAAGCTGGCTACACAGCTTATTAAATACTGCTCCTCGCTCGTATCTTTCTCAGGTTAGCTGCGTTTCTTCCTCGCATGCCATTGGCTGGCTAAGGCCAGCGTGGTCCAATATGTATGCGCCCTTATACGTCACCAAACTTCGTTTTGCCGCTCCGTTGTCCAGTTGTATATTTCGAGCCAATTGCCGTTTTGTGGCTAGTGTTTCGGGAATGATTGCTTTGGTCCAGTTGTCATCGACAAATGTGAAGTCAGAAAATCTCAAAATTGTAAAGGACCTTGTGACAAAAGCGGCAAGTAATGGGGCGAAGGTATCATTCTGAAGTATCGAAAATACGCACTACTGTTAGATGGTATTTCTACCGGAGGCTCCTGATTATATTGGAACATCTGGAGAGGAGACTAGTGAATTGGCTGAAAGCTTCGATGGACCCTTCTTTACAGCACTCCGCAATCTTTCTGTGCAGTTAAAAGTGTGGTTGAGTATTGGTGGTTTTCACAGAAAGGTACTATCCGGTAAAAAAATGCACACGTGGCTTATATAGCCTAGTCCACTCGCACTGGATCAGCGCCTACTTAATACTCACATAATTTTGAATGATAGAGGTGAGGTGGTGGGAATGTATGACAAGACGCACTTATTCGACATTGATTTGAACCGGGGATCTTCTCCGGGACAGGTGTGTTTATTCCCTATGCTTACATTGTGTTTTCAACACTCTAGGAGAGTTCTAAAAAGCTCACATTGCAGGAGTCACAGTATATCCAACCTGGCTCACTTGCCCCTGTTGTGGTTCGCGGAACACCAGTGGGTGATCTTGGTTTAGCGATTGTAAGTTGGCTTGATCTTGAGAACCACTTTTGTTCCACTTTTTTTTCTATAATTATTGTTGCTTTTAGTGTTACGATTTGAGATTCCCCGAATTGGCTAGTGCACTCCGTTACAAAGGTGGGGCAAATGTTCTGGCCTATCCGTCTGCTTTCAGTCTACCCACTGGGGAAGCCGGTCATTGGCATACTTTGTTGCGTGCACGAGCAATCGAAACTCAATGTTACGTCATTGCTGCTGCCCAGGTATGCGTTTACGTCTGATTCTACGCGTTTTTCAAAATCAGATTTTTATGTTTTTTTTTTTGTTTTCACGACAAGGATGGGGTCCATCATCCGAAATTTACCTCCTACGGTCACAGCATGGTCATCGATCCTTGGGGTAAAATAATTGCTGAGCGGACTGAGCCTGGACCTGGAATTTTGATGGCTCGAATTTGTCATCAGTTGGAGGAAGGTGTCGTTGAGCGTGGTATCAACTACACCAATTCTGTTCGATCAATGCTGCCAGTTGGTCTGAGCCGACGTCATGATCTCTTCCCCCTGCCGGATGTTGGAAGCCCTATTCGTGCGTATTTTGATTTGCAATGGCTGACACGAGTTTTGAGTGTGACGTTTGCCAAGTTTAATTAGGCTTTTGGTGACGTCATTGTTCGTGTTATTATTTATGTCCTGATGTAAGGCTTTAGCAGTACATTCAAACATGGGTTTAACATGTCCTTTACGATGCACTTAACGACTAGCATCCATTCTCGAGCAAATCTTTGTTTACAAACTAAATGGTCCGCTTCCGTCCACGAGAAAAATTTTCAAGTCAGAAGGTTGTGGATGGGATTTAGGCAAGTTTAGATTCAATGTAATTTACTTAACCTGACCCAGAATATTTTGGCTTATGTACAGTGAGCTTGTCAAGACGGTATCTCGTCTTATGTTATCGAAACTATGTTTTAATAATATGTTTGTGCATTTTTAATGGGCTAAGGCAAATCAAAATATGAGAAAGTCGTCGCTATTAGGGTAAACTTTTCCCCTTTGAAACCTGTCCTTGTCTGTTTTGTCGCAGTCACTTGTTATGCCTCCTCTCTTCGTTTTTTTTTCGGTAAACGTCTAACCCGTGCCTCGGACTTTTTTTACATGTACAGCAATCGGTACCGAGGATTTCCAGTTTGGAAACATCACATTGAAAGCCGAACAAATTTTCTATCGCACATCGGTCTCCATAGCTTTAGTTAACATAAGCCCTCTAGTGCCTGGACGTATCCTTTATCTATTTGCCTCTGGATTTCCTGATATGATTTCTGTCAACCTTAAATGAACTATGAAGCCACTTAAGCTTTCTTATTTATTCATTTCTGGCTCGTAGATCGTACTGATAATTATTTTAACGCCATCGATTCAGTATTTAATGTGTCTTCGGTACCTAATGTCTTCTTCTCGCCTACATTAAAATAATTCCCACCATGATTTGTGCGTTCCACTGTCATAGACACTTGGGTTTGGGTGCGCAAATGCATCTACGCACAAACCCTCCTAGTTAAAGCTGTGGATGGGTGCTGAATTTATTACTATCGGGCCCTGAGGGTCATGGTGAGATGTGCATATGCCGCCAGCATCCTTTTGACCTTCTGCAAACTCCATTTGAAAACACAAACACTCTAGCGTATTGTTTTGAGTTCTTTTTCTTAACTGGAAGTTCGTCAGATGTTCTCGTTATTCCTGTCGAAGTTGTTGATAGATTTGGTTCGCTTCCCGATGGGACGATTGCGGATATGTACGCGTGTGTTAAGCGCATTTCTGAGAAGTTGTGTGAACATTTTGGGGCGACAAGCCTTACCATCTCCATACAAGATGGGAAAGACGCCGGCCAAACTGTTCCGGTACGCAAGTGATTTTCGCATATTGGGTTTTTATCAACGTGACTTCCGTTGTCTCTGTCTTTCTTTGAAATTTCAAGGATTTTATGGCCCCTTTTGAGTGTTTGTTTACTTTAGCCGTCGATCGGTGATCCCGAAGGCGTATCATTGGCCACTTTTTTGGTAGCCATTTTGATTCTTGATTTATAAGACGACCTTGAATTTCTATATCTATAGACTCGCTGATTTGCAAGGCCAGCTCTTGACGTTCTCTTTTTATAGCATGTTCACGTTCACGTTTTGCCCAGAAAACCAGGAGACTTTGCTATGAATGACGACATCTACGCTGCGGTAAGCTGATTTGAAGAGATTTTATTTCCTCGTGGCAGAATTTTGATGAACTGTTTTATGTTTTAGCTGCAGGCCCATGACAAAGTCGCCAACAGAAAATATCGTTCAAACGAAGAAATGGCAGTGGAAGCAAAGCTTTTTAGGTCATTCTTTTACGACAAATTTGGTCAACCGCTGAAGAATTAAGAGGCGCATTGTATTTTTTCACTGATTCTTTTGAGCAAATTGTGTTACTTGCTCGTATTAATAAGAACGATACCTTAAACATGATATAAATGCTTGCTGATGGTAAAAACAATCGTAACCCTGAAGTTTAGTCTGTGTGCGTGATTCGGTAACTAACTCCGCCTTCTCGTTTAAGTTGTTTAACTTATTGAGTAGACTCAAGTAGACTGACACTGACAAAACTCAGTGTTTCTGATTATCATGCTCCGAATTCGTTTTGTACGCAGACCAAGATGTGACAAACTGCCTATTTGAGTTGGATATCTCCTTGCCATTTAGGAACTCTACAAAAGAAATAATTGCGGTTCTCATATCGCTACAATCAGGCAAATAAAGTCCTAGTGTACGTACCCAGAGATCCTATCGCAACGATAATTCTGTCACGTATCCGTGGTTCATTCATTATTGGGTTGTGCGATATGTTTAACTCCTTTAGGTGTCCCATCGTTGTAAGTACGGAGAGGACTTCATTAGCGTCCGCAAGCTGGTTGGATTCAACGTCTAGACGCTCCAAATTATCAAAGTACTCTAATCCGATTAGACTGTTAACACCTGAGCCAGAGATATCTAGGCTTTTGAGGCATTTCTAAACCAAATCAGAAGACTTGATCTTGCCTGCAATGTTTTAAGGCTCAGGTCGTCTAAAATCATGCCTTCGCCGGGGGGAAGGCGTTGGTGGTCCACTTTTAGATCAGATAACTTTTCTTGCGACTCCAGGCCCTCAAGAACCGAGATCTTGTTTGCACTTAAAAATCTTACAAATATTAAATGAATGCGACAGGGTACAGTTTTTCCAAGTTAACAAGCTTCTCGAGGTGGCGGATTTCAGTAATGTCATTGTGTTGCAAGTATAAGTGCGTTAGGTTTGGGCTCAGTGGTAACTCCGGAAACTCTGTGAGGTGGTTTTCATATAAATATAAAACTTCAAGGCTTTTACAGAAGATGAGTGCGTCCCCCTTTGTTAGAAAAAGATGTGACCTTGTCTTTTGTTTGCTTACCACTTCGTCAATGTCTTTATTATCCATATATAGGTGGGTCATTCGGCCTAAAAATTCATTTAACGGCTCATTTTCACGTCTCTTGCACAGTCGAGAGGTTGACCTAACGAGGAGACTTGGTGAGACCTTTACCATTTTGAGCAGCGCACTGAGTGCTTGCCTACAAATTCAACCAGTTGATTTATATAAACATTTTACACTCAATGATAAAATTAAATGTTCAAATAATATTGTTATAAGCAAATCGATTAGGCATGCTACCGTGCAATTTAAAAACGCAAATCAATGACTTTCAGTTGCGCCACCTAATAACTTCGGTGAATTTCTTTCAGAATGGGTCATATTGTTACCTCCCATTGTTGCGGATCTGCTCATTGGCAAAATTATTTTTCCGAATGCTTTATAGTCGGTTCACCATATTTTTCCCAAAAGGCCAATTTTTATATTTTGCCATTTTAAAATACAATTTCATATTACTTTGTGTTCCAAATGAATTTCGCAATCATTCTGCATAAGTTTTTCGTCAAATAATTTTGTTTAGTCCACTAACAATTGATTACAATGCCCTATAAAAACTGGTCTAAATAATCATTACTTTGGGTGCTTCTTCACATTTAGGCTTGAATTTTGAAAATAAATTCCAGTAAAATTCAAGACCTAATAAAAATTATTTGTTTCTCTCATTAAAATTATGATTGAACTCAGTATTAAGGGTTTGCTGGGCCTATTAATTACGTTCTAGTAGTAAAGTCATATGTGGTAGTTTTAATACTAAATTGATATTTGTACCATCGAGAATTAGGTGAGTTGATTCTGTGAACCTGCGGAAGGACTTCCAGCATTTTAATTTCTTTCTTGTTGGCAGATTTTCTAAAAGAAATTTTAGTAAGCTTTGCACGATTTATTTACCGAAAGCTTAATGTCTATTTGTAGAAAAAGTGGAGCAATGTTTGTTAATTTTCTTCTCGCGTTATACTTTCTATTAGTCATTCCAATTTAACGCCTTTAATTTGTATAACTCTGACTGTCTCTCTTATGACACCAAGCAATCTGGAATTATTGAATTAGTAAAATATTTAGTTTAACTCCTTTGATATAGGATTCGTCGATATTTAAAAAAAAACGAATTTGCTACTTATGTTTCCGGAAGGAAAGTTCACAGACTTAAGCAGACGGAGCCAATGATGATAGTGACAACTAATGCATGACAATACTTTGTTTACCATATGAAGTGAAGTTGTATTTCTCAGGGAATCCCAAAATGAAATAATCAAGTAAATTTATTTGGTGACTTCACTTAACCGTAAATCATTGGGAGGTTCAGAACTATAAAACCCACAATTAAATAAACTCGCGGAATCCCTTACAAAGAAAAGACCATTTGTAAATGTAGATGACTTATGCCATTTTTCGTGAACAATAAACGTTGCTAAAATAACTTCTGAACAGGTTTTGGGGATCCAAGAACCCCCAAGATGGCTCATTGACGGTTTTTCGTCACTGTTGAAACTAATCTTCTTACCACGACGCGTCTCCACCGAATGTTTCTTCATTTTATTTTGAGAAGGTCAATTCTAGCATCAGACATGGAACCTGGATGGCCGTGATCTGAGTTGGTATTCCCATAGTAGCTGGCAGAGCTAACAAATTTGGCGACACAAGTAAGATGGATGATAAAGAAGTGGAACAAATACATGTATGGTCAATGTAGACGCTAGCAGGCTGCCAATAATTTCAGGCCGCTTTCACCAGTTGGCCGTCAATCGACGGCCGTACCAGCAGTATCTTGGAGTTTTCCCATGACCTGCAAATATGGCCTAACGTTCGAGTCCTAGTATTATCATTTCGAAGACCTGTTTCGAGTAGACCTAGCGTATAAGGACTCCGCGTGTAAGATCAGACTCCTCAGCCGCAAAATGTTCTCAGCATAACTGAAGAGATTCAGTAACACGATTTTCCCCTAGTAGTTGCTCGACTTCACGTTCGGAGAAATCGTTCAAAATCTTAAGCGGGCATTTGGAGAAGGCGTCTCATTGTTCAGTACCCAGTACCGATGTCTCAAACTATCAGTGAGAGAGTTTGACAACTTCTTTGAATATCTAGTAGTATTCACTCAAAAGTGTAAGAAAATTCAATTCAGATCAATTACTAATGACTAGCTGAATGAAATTTTAGTGGCGAATGACCTATTTGTGTATTCATACATAAGTATTTTCATCTATAAAAGTTTAACATTAAATTAAGGCACCTGTGTGGAATTAATTAAGGTCTGGCAATATAACAAGAATACGTGTAGAATTCTACTCTTTAATCCCTTCGGGTTACTAATTTTTTTAATATGTTCAGAACACTTTTCTTATTTTAAGAGCAATCATACGCAAAATGGCTAATGTTGATCGCATTAAAATCTATAAATGATATTTTGCTGAAGCTTTATTGCATCGGAAAAAATTTGGAACTACCGAATCTAGACCAGAAGTTGATGCTCGTTTCCCTTAGAATTTTGACAAATTCTGATAAATTTTTGTATGGATCCCATATAAATGTGCTAATATAAGCCTTTAATAATGCGTTGAACACGGAAAATGTGGCCATTGCTAATCGAATAGGCAGGTTGCGCCCCTTAAATCAAAATATTATTGCTGTTCTCGTTCGGTGGAGCATGGATGGTTCCGACTAGAATCCCAAAACCTTTATCTACTTACCAATGACTGCAATAATAACTGCTGCCACAATTAGTGACTTGTTTTTTTTATATCCACCTGAATAGGATGGTAAATAGTTTAAATATTGAAGTTTGTTTATAACCACCATCCTTTGTGCAGCTTTTTAGAATTTCTGACTTCCTTAATGGCTGAAGATCCTGTGGCTGCGTTTTTAGCTAACGAAAAGGCTGAGCTTGGTGACATAACCGACGAGTTATATAATGGAGCTGGAACAGGATCAGGTGATTTAGTTTCAAATCAGTTAACTTGATTTTGACAATTTACCAAGTTTTCTAATCATTTTTTCTTGTTAAGATGTTGGTTCCACAGGGAATCTAGGAGAAGACGATTTTTCAGAAATCGAAGCTCCGGAGGTCCCTAATATTCCCGAGGTTGTAACTTCAGAGGCAGTGCATAGTGTTACAACGAACTCAAATAACTTCAACAGTTTAAATGGAACTCAAAGTCGAAAGTCATCCACGATGTCAGTACCAGCGAAGCAGGAATCGCCCATTTTGGAATCGTGGCGTGCCAATTTCGATGCAGATATTAAATCTCGAGATGAAAGGGAAGAAAAGAGACTTGCTGAACTTGAGGCGAATGCCAAAAAGGTACTTGAATTCGTACTAACTTGTGACGCACGTGGCGTTGCAATGACAATGTGTATGCTTATCCTGGCAAATATTTTGTTTTATATTGTTCTTTTTGACCATCTTTTTAGTCTTGCCTACTAAGATATTTCCATGACTAATGACCGTGGCACTCAAGCGTCTCAAAAGGTTTTGCCTATCTTAAAAATGCGCGTAATTAATTCGGCCACCAAAATTCAAATTTCAGGTTTGCGATTTAATCAAAAAACCCGTGTTTCTAGTTTTGTTTTGGCTCTAAACTTTCGATGTGTGTAAGTTTGGCGTGATTGGGTTTAAATATTCTCTCATTTTCTTCTCGTCCGATGTAATTTTCTACCGAATGATGCTAGTTGAGTAGCAATGATTGGTTATTCATGTAGGTCGGTTAGTGAGTAATCTAGCAAGTAATATTTTTGTAATTAATCAAAGGTCAAATGTCACATTTCAGAGATCACCATTTTGTAAGCGTTGAACAATGAAATAGCCATGTTCATTCCGTTTCTCATCACTTTTTTGCCAATATGCTGAAGTTAATAATCAGGTTTCGGTTTTCTTGACTCCGAAATTCTCAGGTAGCCGTCCTTGTCATCGCGCATGTTCTAGTAGTCACTGCCTCATTATCGAAGTCAGAAATGTAGGAACAAAGGCCTCTTTCGAGGTGAGAATAAATCTACTGTCTTAGTTTTACTTCAGCTCTGTAAGCTACCTGCACCCAGTCGAGTTTTTCTTAGTCTACTTGGATCCCAAAACCAGTAAGCTTCACAGTAGTCGCTTATTTTAATGGTAAATCATTTAGTCTGCTGATTTGAAAGTCCCTCCGGAATTCATTAATGTCATGAAGCTTAAAACAACCCATTAAATTGCTCCAATTTTTTTTTAATGAGGCTTTTAGTGTCAACAGCTTTGCTTGCACCATCCACGTCGTGCGGCATTGGGTGTCATTGTTGTTGTTATTTTTTGTTACTATAGGAACTGGAGACATGGTATGCTCACTATCGACAGCAGCAGGCTACCAAGTTGGCTGACAACCGAGCAGAGGCACCGAAAGACCTGTCGGGAAAGGCCTACAGCGGTTACTCGGGACCCACGCCGTCGGTGGGCGACACTGCTGTTTGGGAGAGCGTGTGTGGCATGTGCGACTTGCATGTGAGTGTCCTGCACAATCACGTTTCCCCTCTTTCTCGCCATTACTCCCATGTGTTTTTTTCACCATGACGTTGCCCCCTTCTTTCTCCGGGTCCGTTTGTCGGTTCCCTTTAGCTACGAGCAAAAGTGGTCCACACCTCAATTACGAATTTTTGGGCAAATCACAAAATTTCCCTTTCCGCATGTTATCTGCAAAGTTCTTATATAGTCGGCTTGCGACCGTGGCAGATCAACTAAAGGTCAAGTTTTTTTAAATAAGGCAATTTCTGCGTTGCGCCCCACAACCTCGTCCATCTTCCGCAATTCGATTGCGTGTTCTCTGTGTGTGGTTTTTGGTTAGCTGCCTGTTGCTGAAAACTCCGCTGTCGAAATACCTGTGTTCTGAACTTTTTGCTCACTATTTCGTGTTCGACCTTTCTTGGCACGCACGAGCATTTTTTAGACCCAAATCACCCGTAGTCTGCCCTGCATTTCATTGGAGGCCGTCGAAACGAAAATTGACCTTAAATTGATGTTAAAAATGGGGACCGTTGACTAGGAAAAGGTGCTTAAATAAATATAAGTACGCAGTAGCATGGGATCTTCTGGCTTTTAAAGGTTGGTGTTTGTCAGTATAACTCCTTAGTAGCCAGAGCCAACGTGGGTTTTCGTTCACGCCTAGCCAAGCGACGAACACTTCCACCAAACTAGCATTCTGAATACTTTCTATTGCTTCAACAATGGGAAGCAGGGTAGAACGAGCTCGTGTCCAATGCCGGCATTTACTACACGCGCACCGGGATCCACATGGGATGGGGAGGGTACAATTGAAGCTGGCGTGTTTCCGGTCACGTGATTTCGCTGGTAGAAGGTGTGGCCATGCCCAGTGCGTGCTGTCATTTCACGTGCCTCCAGCAACTAACATCACGCGTACGCGCCAATCTGAATGCCCACTTGGCTTCGGGCATTTGAGAGAGATTTAGCCTTGCAATCACAGTTGGCGGTAGCAGCGCAACGATGACGGCCCACGCCTTGTTCTCTCGTTTCAGGCCAAAAACACAAAAAGTACACACGATCTCTCGCGGATGCGTGGTCTTCTGCTTAACCTCAAGACTCCGCACACCAACTCCGCTTAGCCCTGTCAATCGGCCGCCACCCTCCACCCCTCCTGGTGTGAATGTGTCCCGCCAGCCTTCCATCGACTCCTGTTTCTCCTGTTTTCTAACCAATCCGATGACTTTGTGATCACTCCCTCCTTGACTCACTTGTAAAGGTCTCCGGGCCAGGGTTTTACTGTGAATATAACAGTTACTTATCATCTTGTCAATCGACGACTTTTCACTAACAACCCCCTGGTGTTCACTGCCTCTCGCGCAGGCTCGCATGCTTAATTTCGCTGAGAGGAAGGAAAAGGTAATGAAAGGCCCTGAAGGGGGCTAACTACTTTACTTGAGGTCAAGGCGAACAGTGCCCCTGTTTCTACCAAAAGCATCTGCTCGTTCTTGGGCCTTAAATAAATTGCTCACTAGGGTGGATGCGGCCTCCTTCAATCTTAGGGTGTCACGTGAACTCAGGTTAACTGGTGGTCTTATTTTGCCGGCTCGTCGCCTTAGCCAAGTCTTGGCTCGGTCACTCCGTGTGACGTGAGTCCGTTTACGCTGCTGTGACCTCGCTGACCGACACCGCGGAATCTGCGCGATGTCCTCGTGAGCTTATATCTGATACGGCTTACGTGCAGCCAATCAAGTACTTGCAGCATTTGAAGTGAAGCTTACCTTAATCAAGATCTAAGCGCCCACAACCCAACTAGAAGTCACAGCGAATCTATAGGCTCCTTGACGTGAAGGCGCACTGAATTGAAGTCCCATCTGGGTCGAAACTGTACTACCTTGACGGCCATGCCGGATGCCACTGCTTCTCATGAAACCGTCATGTTGGTACGCAAACTGCGTCGCATTCTCTCTTTGAGACGCTAATTTCCAACCAGTTTCATTGTGCTCATTCTGGTTGCAGTGTCGGAGTCTACCAGTGACTCAAATGGCGCACGGGCGTTGACTGGTGAATCTCTTGTTTCCTTTCAAGGTGCCGAGAACTTTGACTGGCGTTATTGCAATCAAAGGGTGTCAAAATCTGTAGTATGCAGGTCGGTTGGCGAGGGACAGCCCTCTGTAGATAGCGTGTATCATCGTAACCCGAGCGACAAAGACAGGACCTGTGAAGTGACCCAGGAATCATACTACAAAATGCCGATTAATTTAACCAGAAGTGATGACCCTTCTTCCCTCTTCTCATTCAACTGCAAAACTAGCCTGAGAATAGTTGTTTTCTTACTCATTTCATTCGCAAACCATTTCAACCCCTATTGGTGCACCGATAAACCTGTGAAGCCGCCACAGTAGCAACTGCAATCAAGAAAAAGTTTGCATCTCGCTTTATGAGTCATTCGCTCCACTGCAGTCCCCTTATCCAACTTCCAACTCGGTTAGCTACAGGGTCATGCGGGGAACCTTGGCTCCTTATTGCACACAACTCCGACAGATCCCAGTGTATTTTCTCAAAACCCAGAGAAGTGAAAAGGCCGGTGCTTGAGTTGGGTCGTCGGCTGACGCTCACAGGACCGATTGCGCGGACGACCATGAGTCGAGTCACCCATGGGTGAGTTTAGATTCCCCCATGTGAACAGAATCAACCAATTGAAGGTGTGGAGGAGGGTCCGCAGATGCCGAACGCCCCAAGATTATACAAATCGGACAAACTTCGACCGATTAGTCTCGGCTGACTGTACACTACAATTAAATGAATACCGTAGTAACCTGAGCATACTAAATGAACTTCAATGCATGGGGTGAGATGGCCAGATTCCAGTGCACTTTAGTCATGACTGTTTGGTTAACAGCGAGGGAATTGGTCGCAAACAGTTTGTATTGGGAATCGTCCAGGGCGCGTTTGTTTCATTTGCATAAACCTAATCGTCACTAGGGCTGGTTTTGCTTAGTCACTAAATGGTTTGCGCTGTTCGCCGTCCATCGACAATGCAACCCAACGTAATAGCCCATCGGGATTTCTGCGCACTAGACACGCAAAATGGACTAATTGGTGCCGCGTTCCCACCTTATGAGCCGTCGTTGTCTGTCATCTATCATTTCCCGCTTGACAGAAAACTGCGTTCACAATTACGGGCATTTGTAATTGTAGGCGGATGTTGCAAATTAGGAAATAGGAGTCCTGTGATACCGGAAGTGAAAGTTATAACGGGTAATCCAACGGTGTTTAACATACTGTTTCATAGTTCCGAGAACTAGCCTAGCCTAGCTTATTTTCTCACTGAACAAAGGGTTCGCCGTAGCTTGGTGAAACAGGACAACACGGCAACTAGTGGATTGTCGCAGACACAAACGAGCGCACTCTGGGTTCATTACGATACCCTTTTTGTACCAAATCAACAAGCGAAGTCAGAGCTTGTTCCCCCTCTTCACAAATTTTCGCTGAAGGTCGCATCCGCTTAGGGCCGAATGCGGTGTTGGCGGCTAATTTCTGATTGGGTGATGATCCCTGTAAAAGTGAAATCAGAACACGGACTCGGCTAATCGATTCGCTGTTTGCAATCCGGTCAGCGCCAGTTTTACGACAGCTGAAAATAACACGCTTCCCGACTGCGGATTGGCTGGTGAAAATCTCGTTAACGGACATTGGGCAGTTTTATCGGCGTAGTGTATTCGGGCCACGTAATTGGATGTCCAGTAAGTCGACAGCAAGGTAGTGACACGTTGACGGTTCACCTAAACGGAATCAAGCACCAATCAAAAACGCAGCAAGCAGCTCCGATGAGTTTTGGCTCAACTGACCAATAACTGACTTGAACAGTGTTCAGCGGGCCGAAATTTCACGGCACTGGGTGAACACGACTCGTGTAAAAGCAGTTTTGTTTGGAATGAGTAATTTCAGATGACTACTTAAGAAGGTACAAGGGTAGAACCGCGAAGAAAGGGCAAATAAAAGGGAAAATTCACTGGTGGGAGACGCATTGGCATATCCCGTGGTCGGCCTTACAAGCCGTTGCTAAGGCCTATGGCGAACCTAGTGCAGCGGCATAATTTAACTCATACACACGTGCATGTGTAGTCACTACAATCAGAGATGGCCAGTGTCGGCGTTGTTTATGCAGCCCTCGACAGTTGTTCCAAGGTCAAATTTTCAAGTGTTGGAGTCCAGATTTTGGCAGATTAACACAACCCCAATTGTGCTGTCCGCTTGGGTTCAACTCAACACCGTTATATCACTTAAAAAGACGTGTAGTAGGACAAAATCTTTTCTAACTGTCGATTTAGAATGTCACTTATCAGTAGAAATGTATACAGCCATCTAGTTTGAACCATGGAACAACATTAGAATCTGACTGCAACAAATGTACTACTGAAGAATCTGTGCTAATTCAGTAGCATGTGCCCAAAAGCTTTTAAATTGTCGAAGACGGACAAGGTCACGGCCTGAAACACCTCGCTTCCGAGAAATCGCCCATTTAGGTTAATTTAAAGCTAAGTACAGCAAAGTGCAAAGAAACTAACGCATGGTCATGATAAAGTAGCAAATGCTGATGTCTGTTTTGTGCCTCTGATTTGACTGAATAAATTCTTTTAAAAAGTGCAAGTGAAAAAGGCCAGGGCCTCTATGTAAATGCTTTATTTTTTGCCTAGCATGTGTTGTTTTCAGTGAAAACTCTCCCCTACCCGACTCCAATGTAAAATCACACCGCGTGGCCCAGTTTTATTCGAGGATTACGCTATGACTCGCCACGCTGGCTCGTGCCCTCGCGAGGATCGTGTCTATCTTCCTTTCAAGCGGCGAGGGTCTATTGGCGAGGTCCTTGGCCGCCTCCCTCGCGTGCACCCGTTTGTGGCCACTCAGGTTGCTTCGGCATCGAAAGGACTTTCCGCAGTCGGGGAAGTCGCAGGCGTAGGGCCGCTTATTCAAGTGCAGGTTCATGTGGTCATCGAGGTTCGTCTTTTTGAGAAAATTCTTCTGGCACCCGGGTACAGTACACGCAAAGGTCTTCCGCATCCCTCTATCGAGATGGACCATTCGATGTGTGAGTAGATTCGACTGCCTAGCGAAGGCCTGCTGACAGCCGGGGTGGTCGCAAATGTAGGGCTTTTCACCTGTGTGTATCCGGTAGTGATTGATGAGGGCGTGGTTATAACGGAACACCTTGTTACAACCCGGATACGTGCAGGGGTGTTCGGAAGGGGCTGAGAAGTCCAACGGTCCTTCGTCCTCACTCGGCGGGGTCGTTGGTGAGATGCGAGGGAATAATTGATTACCATAGCCCAGGGTGTAAGTAAATTGAAGTGAACTGGGGAGGTTGGAGAAGAATTCGGGACCACGTCGATTTGGTTCGGCCGGCCAGTGAGTGAGGTCCAGTGCCCCGTTGGTGCCATTGGCCAGCTTCGGTTTCTTGATCAAAGCTAACGGCTCCAGTGGTTCGCCAACTTCTTCCTTAGTCACCTCGTCTCCTCCGCCTGCTAATCTGGGCTTTTTGTTAGGTGGTCCAGTTCTCAAGTCAAGCGGAAGTTCAATTGCAGGCAGTGCTTCTGTCGCCATTCGCAAAAAGTCCGCCGCTGTCTTGGACAAGGCCGTGGCAACGGCCGACTGCAGAAGCGCAGCTGCCAAAAACGGCAGATTGATGGACGACGCTGGAAGGTACGCGAAACCCTCCTTCAGCGGAGCGGGCTTCTCGGACACGCCATGTCTGTCCATTTCTGAGTTCGATGCTGCCTCCGTTTTGGTGACCTCCGCTTGCATTTTCATGGCCCAGCAGTAAGTGCATGTGTGGGGCTGTTTAATTTTATCGATCGATTCTTCACGCTTGCCACTGAAGTCATGAACCAGTGAGGCTTCGTCTTTTGCGCCAGGAGGCACTGGTCGGCTTGGAAACTTGTCAGCGGAGGCAAACTCCCCACACCGAACGGAACCAGGCCACCCACGAAGATCCTTGTCGTCGCGATGAGCCAATAGGATTTCAGCTCATCGATCAAAATCTAGCTCATAATTACCACATAATCTAGCATAAATACACTGAATCTTTGTCTAAATTTCTCAATATACGTGTTAGAAAAATGCTGAAATTTTATTTGAATGCTAAACTATCGGTAATTTGTACACTTTAAGGGGCAATAAAGTTAATATCATGTAAATCCATTCCGACTGTTTTAGAGGGAACAGTTTCAACCAAACTGTTCGTTTATGCGTCAAAAATAAACTGTTGTTATCGGAAAAATTTTGTTGCACAGAAAAGGCTGCAAAAGGCAAAGGATATCTCGGGTTTTTTCCACTCCAGCGGCTGTTTCATCACTCACCGACACCTCGAAGTAAGGCTAAATGCTGACAAGTGGAAAATTTCCGAGTAGTGTTTTCGGTGTAAAGTTGACTTAATTTGTTTCCCATGCTTCATTAAACAAGTTTATTTTTCAAGGTTGTTGAGATTGTCGCGTGTTTGCCAAGAAAGCAAACTGCAATTCTAAAAATTCTACCCTCTGAAGAGAAAATTCAACGTACTTACTTTTACGCAGTAGATATTTATAATAACTTGTGATTTCTCGAGCATCTTGAATTAGATTGGCGCGGGTTGGCTCAAAGCCTCTGACTCACTCATGCGATTTTCACGTCGTAACCTGATAGGTCAATAAAGAAGCATGTGGGGCATTTTTTGACAAAAGTAAAACGCAAAATTGTGCAAAAAAGCGTTTGTAAATCTCCTGATGGTTTCCCGAGTGAGTATTTACTGCAAGTTAATTCCAACGGAAGTTCAAATTAAGGCAGTGCATAAAGTCAACCGCTGTCTTCGACAGAACTGTGGCAACGGCCGACAGTCGATTTGATGGCAGTGGAATCTCCTTATCCCCAGAACGAACAAAACGGAACTTCCAGTAGCGCATTTTAAACTCAAAACTATGTAATGCACACCGCTCATCTACTTACGAGCTAGCACTGCATGGAGTAACATCAGTCATGATCATCCACTTTAAAAGAGGCATTAGATCTTGTCGTTTCAATTCAACTGATTCCCGAATCCGAGGATCTTCTAGTTTTGGCAAATGAAACTGCATCATATGGACACCTTTGAATGCTTCCACGGCTGTAGCAGGAGAAGGCATTCGGCGATACTACGTGGGAAATGTTAACCGTAAAGTAATTTAGACGCTTCCACAGCTGGGAGGTTTCATTGGCTCTTCGTATTCTCGTTATTTTCCGGTCCAGCATGGAGCCGCCATGACGGGGAGTTCTTCAGATCGTTTGATCGCTAACCAAGGCGGTGCAGGTGACGGTGGTGTTTACGCAACGATGCAGAGTTCCCGCCGTTTGACACATTGTTGCCACAACACACCAGCCGCTCATTTGACGCCCGTCATTGTTTTCGTGATGCAACGTAGTACGTCGGTTGTGTCCGTCTTTCTTCCTACGCACGGCGTAGGGAGTCAATCGTGTTCTTGGTGTGACGTCATGCTCAATGAACACAACAACCTGTTGCCATGGCTTAACCACTTTTTGTGATTTTTAGGGGAGACCAACTACGTCGTTAGATTCAACTCTTTTTTCTCCCAAGAACTCCTAAACTCAAGACCCAATCTCGAAAATAAGAGGGCCGTAGCATAGATTTGTTAATCTTGATTTACCCCTAGGTTTGATTCCAATGCTTACAGATCTGCTCACGGAGCGAGCCGTCACCATGCTGAATGCTGTTTGAAGTGTACAAAGCAGCGAGCAGCTATATTTGTTGTGTCAACACTTACGGTGTACGCTGTTTACCGTCACAATCTTGATTGTTTATCAACACGCGTATACACTGTCCAGCATTGCGATTCGTCTTCTCTTCTTTGCTGGTTCGGTGTGTTTAATCGCCTTAGTAATGAATCTGTTTTAAACGTCTGTCGTTTATAAAAGCCCATTCTGAAAAGCATTCTGTTTAGGAAGTCTTTACTACTGTATCGCTCTACGTTTGTTTGCAATCTCACAATTATAAAGCGATTCGCGTCCATCTTTGCCTTTCATGGGCTGTTGATCTTCCTCATAGGCGAATCAAACGCACAAAGATGTTGAAAAACCCGAGCCCTAGCAAAGAGGAGTGAGGTACAGCAGAGCAGAATGTACCGACTGACAACAAACCAGAATTGATCGCCAGGCTCCGTCCACCCGAGTCCCCTGTTCTGGCTACTTCGCTTCCCATTTGTCTCTGGGTGGCTGCTGATCTTTTTCGTAGACCATTCAAACGCACAAGGACAACGGATTGGCTGAGCCTATGGCGTGATCCAATATGGCTGCGACCTATACCTGCACTTCAGAAGCGTGCCAATTCGTGTCAATTTTTTCTGCATTATCTACGTTACTTCATGCTTTCCATGACTACGTGCGTGGACGAATAAGTGCGCACATCAGGATGAACGAGACTATGACGCTGAAGACTAAATGTAGCATGACTGCGAAATGCGGGAATTCTGCGACGAAACAGGCCCCTGCTTGATCATTAGACGGCGCTGTAGATCAAGCAAGATCGCATGTGACACAGACAGTGGGTGACGAGTCACGTGAACGGGAAGAAAGTGCGAGATTTAATGTCATTTTTGATTGCGTGGGATCACTTAAACAAACCAGTTCTTTAACAGCTGCTAATACAATATTAGGTAGGAACAACCGATGGCTAATATCGAAGACCCTCCGATTTTTCTTTCTAATTTGACACATCTTATCTAGATTAATTAAATAAATGTAGTGAGGTTTTTTCTAAAGGTCTACCATGCGATTGAAGGGTTGAGGATTCAACGCAATCAAATCCGTAGCGCTGATACCAACAGGCAATACCTGAAATATCTCCAGTTTGTCGTACTAGTTGTAAATTAGAGACCTTGGCAAGCAGAACTTGGCATTAACGATTTCGTCTAATAAGATTAAAATTGTTTTGTTTAAATGAAGACAAAAGAACCTTCCTCCTGGAAATGCACTATTTTGCCTTTCCAACTGTTCATTGGACGGCAAATCTGGCGTCCTTGAACTTATCGATCCAAACTATATGCCATGTGATTGCAAGCTGCGACACCACGTGTCGAGGCCTTACTGAGTTAACCCACGGAGATGCTACCGAGAATTAACAATATAGCCCTTATGAAACACTACTCAGACGGAAGGCAGCACGATGGCTCTCGCGCCAGAGTCACGAGGAAGAGTGTAGCAGGCTTGTACATTTCAAAACAGCCGAAATCGCATGAAAGCACTAAGTTACCACAGTTGTCAAAAACAAAACGCACTGTTCTGCAAGACAAACACGAGGCCTCAAACCTGGGGGACAAGAGAGCCCTTCAGATTCACAAGCAGAAGCAAGAAGCTCCAGCAGACCGTCGTTGAAGCCGCAGAGCCAACTGACGTGGAAGTTCCCTGCCAACGAGGCCGCAGGAGATAGAACGTAGAAGGCAACTTCAACGAACCAATCCTCAAGTGTGCATGAAGATGGGTGCCCCAAGGGATAATATGAGCATGGCTTTGTTGTGCTTAAGACTTTGAGAAGTCCATTCTGCATTTTAACAGATATTGTACAATTTGATGTCGATCTTGTATTTACATTATACACAGTGTTTTCTGATTGTTCTTAACTGTAACAAAAACCAAAATTGGTACAGAATGTTTGTACACTGATCAATAAGTACGCGTGAGAGGTTTACGCAATACGAACACGTAATCACAGAAAGCTTACCCGCATAGCAAAGGAAGAGAGGTGAATCGGCAGACCTCCAAAAGCGAATCTATTTTGGGGTTAAGTCTGAGGCGATCATTTCGAAATACAGGCTAATTCTTTGTGGTCCATCCATCGGCAGGCAGTGCCGACCCGTAGAGCCAATTCTCAAACTGCTTTCATTCCAGAAATTGTCCCTCCTGCCCAACTTTTTTCCACAAGGCGAAAAGTCACGTGGTGCTACTCAACACCACACGAGCTGATCGTCTCTTTCCCGAAATTCATGCTTAGTTTATGAATTTCGGCAGAGGTGACACTAGACTCCACTTCAGAGCCCACAGATTGAGGTAACATTTCCACCACGACATGGTTTGGAACCACGCCATTTTCGATTCGGCATCACACCTGTTGATGACCAGACAGTTTAACGTGGTGGTGCGATTCAAGCTGCGGTCTTCCTCTGACATCTCAACACACCTAACACATGTGCATTCAGTGGGGGTTGGGAGTGTTAATTACTGTTTCCCCTCTAATGGCTCTCCAATTTCAATGGAGAATGTCAATCGGAATGTCCGTTTGTCAGTCTTAGGTGGACGGCCATTTGGCTGGAGCCAACGGCCCCGCAAATGTGACCAGACATTGGTTTGAGCATTGGAGGATGATGCGAGTTGGGCTGCTCTAAGCGTTACTGTCTGCCAATTTTCGAACACGCAATTCTTACACTACTATGACAGTTGCTTGGCCTTCACCAACCACATTTCACGTTGCATTCTTTCGCAATTAAGATCTAGTTTGCGCCTAAATTGTTTGGTTCCAAATTGGCACAGCTTCTTCACAATTAATTGTTTCATCGTTAACTGGGTTATTTTGAAGTAGCAAGCAACGGAAATTTACATGACTGCTGAGTTTGTGCGCATTTCTCACTGGTTCGCGTTTCTCCCTGTCTAACACCGGAATGTTACATTCAAATAGAGGTGATTGGACATTAATGCTCATAATTGGAGAACATGTGGCTATTGTCTAACGCATTCGTTATGAATTTATCAGGCAGCATTTTCTGCTTTTATTACCACAATACCCTGTTTCCGCATATCTGACTGGATGTTACAACTACATGTCTGTACCTTCAATGATTACAAATAACTCAAAAGCCACGTGAACTTCATCGACACTTACCAATCTTACAACCTCTGCTCTCTGCGAATCACGCGTAAGGTGAGGGCACTATCTGTCAACACGCATGGACGGAGATTGGGGTTAAGTAGGAAAAAAGTGCAGGTCAGAACTCTACGTTTCGCACTTAACCAGCACCCCAGATCTCCTGCAGGACGCTAGGCCCCACCTTCCCAAGCTGATGTAAGCCAAAGGCCGAGAGATCTGTCGGAATGTGCCCACCTAAATGAGTCAGGGATGACCTCGACCCGATGGATAAAGGCGGATTAACACGGATGTGGCTGTCAGTAGAGAGGCGTCGGTGACTCACCCACTGCGGTGGTGTGATTAGGGAAATTGTGTAAGCAATGACGAAATCCTAACCCGCTCTGAGCCGTCTTGGGGAACGCCGGATCCCCAATAACTTGGCAAAACCACCGCATAATGCAACTCACTGACCAGTGAGCGAAGCTACTAGCTTTCGGTATAGTTTTCGTAAAGTGGTACTTTCAAATTCCACATTGCCGAGGCAAGAATTCTGGTTTGTAACGTGAAACCCTTGTCACAGGAAGCGGTGATTTGCCTTTGGTAATTCGGCGAAATCCAATCCACGTGCACTAAGCGACTTGATTTACGATGTGCGGAGAAATTAAACCTCAAGTAGTTGAAGTCCTTTTTTGAAGTGTGAATTTGCGGAGTTGAGACGAGTTTCACTGATGTTGCTTTCCGTGTAAATCGAAGTGTCTTTTTTTCAAGAGGGTGATGACTTAGCATATCTCCATCACGAAAGTAGTGGTACACTAAATTTCGTGCAGGAAAGAATTTGCGATGAGAAAAAAAAATCCATGAATCTTCAAAATCTGTGATCCAAAATTGGTTCGACCTGAAACGCCTATATCCTCCCCAGTTATTCATTTGGATTGAAAGCCAAACAAGAATCCAGATTTGCAGGAAGCCAAATAAGCATCGCCTGGCCTCATACTTCAGGCATCAGAAGGCAAAGTAGGGTATTTGTGGGAAAAGTAGGCGACGGAACATGTGTAATCCTTCTGTCATCGTTCAGAAGGGTCTTGACGGTGTTTAAATCGGTTACATCACTCCGCATACCTACGCACATAGTTCCTGGATTTTAGCCAAATGACAGGAAATGTGATGCCACTTGTGACTTTTTCAGAAACTGTCAACTCAAGTGGAGCATAGCTAATTGAAGAAGTCTCCTTTTTCTTGCGTCTAATTTACTCCGCACAATCCTGCAACCCTATTGCCATTGAAGGTGTTTCCTGATGATATTTACCAGTTTATGCTAATTTAATGCCAATTCATAAATTTGAGCAAGACACGGCAAAGGAGACATCCACAAGTCGCCGTGTCGCCAACGTCGGTTCTTAATTAAGCCGTGACCTCGATGGTATGGCAATATTTGCAGTGCTGGTTTCGCGCCAACGATTCACACCATGCGGGCAGCCAGCACAAAATGACACAACACACCTAGCAAGCACCAAAACCACGTTCACAGTCCCACGACAGACCTCCAAAAACGCGAATCTGCGTATTTGGTTCATCCCGTTGGTCCTTGATGGGGAAGTTTTGTTCTGTTGGCGACGTATTGATGCGAACTAGGGGCATCTCAAACGCTAACTTTTTGACTTTGCATTTGCAGGAAGTTTCAACTTTTAGCACTGCGTTTGCTTGCCTGCCAACTGCTCCATGACGAATTGAATTCACGATAGTCCCTTCAAGACAAGCCATAGAAATAAGTGCAAGATACGTAACCAATGAGTAGCATTTAAGCGACAAAAATTGGGCTCAGACACAAATAGCGATCGCGCCTGCATTTAAAAGTGCTTTTTTTAGAGATTAGCATGAATCCGACGGTTTCAAGGACTGGTTACTCCAGCTGACCATCCACAAAAGCGTGTAGTGAATCGTATAGATTTACGTCCATTAATCTGGTTCTTGCAGTCGGCAATACACTGACCCCCTATTTCAAGAATATCGGACCATCTGCTCTCACACACGTACCTCCCCCCACCACTATCCATTGAAACCTTCCGACCATTCGGACTTTGTACCTCGACTATTTCACCCTACAGCGAGTGCACAGCACTCACACAACTCAACTTGGTTGAGCTGTCTGGTAAACGGTCGTGTCTCCGCCATTCCATGTCATCTACTTGTCTTCTCGGGTATGTGAGTAGCGTAAACGTACCGAATTCTGCTCAGTGGCCCTGGCGTTGTACAAGGTCACACACCGGAACCCTCAACAAGCACCAGTAGCCACTCTCGTGGCTGCATCACAATGGATGCCTGAGTTGTTATAACAAAGGCTCCACTTATGAAGATGACGACGCCCACCTATGTCCTGAGTCAAGTCGAAAGGCCCACATTTTTCGAATTTGGTGCTCGCTTTTAATCGTCCTAGATAGGTAGCCAACTGTTCTGCGGAATATATGGCATAGATAAGACCCATTCCTGGCAATGGTTTGTGCTACTGACAAGATTTTTTTACGATCACTTTGTTTGGAACCCCTTCATGTGGTCTTGAACCATACCATACACCTACACTGATCCCCGGAAGATTAAAAAGACAAGGGATGTCAGCGGCAGGATCGTTTACTAGACAACTCAACGAAGTTGAGTTGTGTGGGTGCGTGCGCTCGCAGTACTGCATGCCTCAAGTAGTTATCGATCAATAGTTTGGGTGAACTAGTTAAAGTACGCGTATCTGAATGGTCAGAAGAGGTCAACAGATACCGAGGGGAAAGATACATGCACCGTGGCTGAACTGGGGGTCAGTATGTCTCAGACTGCAGCAACCAGGTTAACGGACATGAATCAATATGATTCACTACAATCTTCCGTGGCAGAATGAGTGTTCGTACGCTCCTAGGGATAAAAAACAATTTTATGCCTATAATAGACTGATCGAGGAAAAATTGGGGTAGAATGAGTTTACCGTAAGAAACAAGTTTTGTTTCTAGGTGGTAGAGGCAACGAAATTGTTCTCAACCCCTGCCAATCTGGATGCGCAAAGTCACGCCAAAAGTTAAACGTTGCTTGTGCTTTCTCAGAAAGGCGAATTAACTTCATTAGCATTGTTGTTGTTGTTATTGTTGATGGGGCTAAGGATCAACAATTTCGGTAATTCACATTTAATCAGATGGAACCCACAACGGAACCCAGAGATAACATGTACTGCAGGTAATAAGACAGGCATCCAAATTAATTTTTTAGTGAAGGTACGTGTTGATATGACGAAGACCTGGCTCAAGTATTAAGTGGGTATTAATTTGGACAAATTTTTGGGATCTAGAATGTCGAGTGCTAAGATGCTCAGGTGAGAAATTTTCGAAGTTAGCGCATGTTGACACCTTCACAATCCCGGTGCGTGTAACTATTTGCTGCAGATGTCGGTTGGTAACTAATACCTGTAGGTTGACATGTCGCCATGACTTCGCTACACCAAATCCACCAACTTTAAAGGCGTCAGAAAGCGCTGGTTGTGACTTAGATGCGTGGGCAAAAGCACACCGCGATGTGTCACGAGGCTCTCAAAAAAGGATCCTGACACTTGTCACCCCGTTTTTTTCTGGGAGGGGGGTCAAAATGCACACAATGACATCGTACAACAATTCACCTCACAACTTAACCATTTTCTCTGAGTTGACAGAGTTACTAGTCAATTTTGTGGGCAGTTGACTCCCAGCCAATGAAATTAAAATTCGTGAGTTGTTTGAGTATCGATTTTTGGCAGGCGTGGGCGAGCAAGAATTTGATCGATTATCTTGAGTTCGCTCGACGTAGCGACAATCGTTCAGATATCGATGTCTAGATTCATGTAATAAGCTGACGTCTTATAGTGCTATCGACAAACCTAACCATCACTCCCTTATTGTGGCAATATCTGGAATGAGTTCCAAGTTATCTACTATCGGCTTCGGTGTGACTTTAAAATCACACCACAAGCCTTTACTCTGGATGGAGTTTGCGTTGCTCGATTTTCTAGGTGATAAACAGATTTCCACCGAAAATATCGGGAAACGAGAGCCCTTGTGAAACGTCAGCGATCGAGAATAAGTCTAATTTTCACCGCACACACCTAATTTTAAGCATATTGATTGGGAGATCGATATCCTGGCAGAAATAGGTTTGTGCTATAATCAAAACCAGACTACTTTACGGTCCGGTACAGTTAAGTTTGACAGGGTTTTTAAACGAGCGTAAGTATCCATTCAGATGTTTGGATTTAGGTTCAGGAAGCATTCTAGTTGCATCATGGACCGATGTGATTGATTCAGTCCATCTGATGAATACAGAATTATTCTCTTCTAAGGTAGAATATCCATGTCGTTAGGTCAAATGAATTCTGATATGACTCCTTCAGCTAAATTGGTATTTTATCCCATAAGAGAGCACCAAATGCTGAAAGCTGTTGCGAGGGCCTCATTGGCGGTCCATCATTGAAGTCACCAGTTTTTTTGTATTAAATATACACACCGTTTGTTCATTCACACAACCATATTTTAAAACTAGCAATGGTAAAATGACCTAAAGCCCAAAAGTACATTGCACAATTCCTACTTAGTTGATCCGTGACGAACTTTAATTCGCTCACCTGAGTGCCCTATATTTGCACTTGCGGGTATTATTACACCAGTTTCCAAAAGCAAAGTGCGAATCGAAATGCGTAAAGAGTTAACGACGCTGCCAAATCCCTCCAGCTAACCCGGGTCTCAATATGTGTTTTGAATAATAATCCACTGTTGGTAGACCTTTCGAGGTAAAATGCAGTACCATTTCTGCGCATCCCTGTAGAAAATTAAACTATCTTCTCCAAACCTTCACACGTCCACGGACCATTAAAAGTTTCAGTTCATCGATTTTCACCAGGCTGTGGGGGGAATAGTAAAGCATCGGTTTGCTGACTGTGTGTATTAGCATGAGTGGAGATGCTTTTCACGGGAAACGACATGACAGGTGACCTTGAAAATAAGTGACAGCAAATGAAAACCTCGATTCCCCATGAAATCATACACCCATCACTTTTCCTGCCTTGTTTTTCATAGTTGGGAGGTGTATCATTTGAATTTTGGTAAGCAGCTGGAGACATATTTAAGATACCTCGTGAATATACTCTTACTAGGCATTAGTGAACGTGAAATTAATCGATACCGGTGATCGATTATTTGAATTCTGTTCAGACATCACGGGGATTTGCAGGTTGTTTGCACTTATGCCGAAGTCCAGTCGCACAAAAGAAAACGGCGCTCTAAAAGTCGGTTCCATAAACGGTTGAGAATTTCTCGTATTTGGTCCCAACTCTTCGTGGGATCGATTTCCACAATTGGGGCCTTAAAAAATTCGGATTATGATAGACGAAGAGGCGGATGTCTGTCAGGCTGTGGTGAAGCACTACTGGCTACTCAAGGTACATGTACCCACTTCGAGATATCGTGGTTTGCTATCTCGTAAACCTTGCCTTGGCACTACCATACGTGTTTTTGGATGCAGCTTATCTCCAACATGCGAATGAACTTGACGCGAGCAACATTAATTCTCAACTACGGTTGACAGCGGAAAATGCCAAGAATTCCGTACCAGAAATTACTTTGAACATTGCTTCGAGATTGCTATTTCAAATCAGACCTTTTCTAAACGTAAATGGCTTGTGCGAGCTCGGTCACAAGTAGCAAGTCATCTGAGTCACTACCTGCATATTGTACCAAGGTTCAATTGATCTGCGATTTCTAATGGACTCCAGTCATGTTTGCAAATACAACAGTTAGTTTCTGTATGTCGTTGAGGCAGTGAATCTGCGATAATGTTTACTTTTCATGTCTGTCTAGTGAAACCTTCCTAGGCAAAAAAGCATGATCATTTTACTGTCAACTGTTCAAGAACGGGTGATAATCAAATCACTCCAGAAAGACAACAAATTATGTTTACTGGATGGACACCGGTGTCGAAAAGATTAATTCCAGGGTGAAAACGACCTCTGATTACTCTCACCATGGATTCGTTCCTTCACACAACTGTTTCTCTTTGTTCTCAAGTCCCCCACTGATTTGTCGACACACACAGCACGATAACTCATCATATCTGGTTGAATTACCTTCTCACTCTGACCTTTGAAATGGGTTTATGGGGATGATTACGATCCGGTAGGATTTCAAGGTAGTTGTGAAAAAAAACAGCATATTAGTCTAATGTCTTACCGCATTCAACTCAGCGAGCCATCATCACAATAAAACAAAAGCCATTTGCTTCAGCAGCCTGACAAGGGGCTGAAGTGGATCCTGATGGTAAAATCCATCCCTTACAATCACACGATTGTGCGACCACGATGCTCGGGCTCTCCTCTGCACACGCACTCCATGTATTTCACCATTATGGTGCCTGTGTGTTTGCTAGTTCCTCAGAATTCTATTGGCTGACAGCCTCTGTCATTCGTGTCTCCCATGTGCCCGTCTGTAACGTAAAAGTCCACGCGACTGCGACTCAGCAAACTCTGGGTCAAGTCAATCCATGATTGTCTTTTTTGCCCGAATCGGCAATTGCGATGTGATTCGGGACCCACACCAGAGCCTCTGCAGGGTTCTGTTGAAAGATAACAAGAAAAGGCTGATTTTGAAACGGAAATTTCACGTTAATGGGCCGCTTTCGAAGTTGGCAGAAGAATAGGGATCAATTAATCCCTCCTACAACAGCGCAATAATTGCCAACTCCAACTTAATGTGAACAACCACCAGTGTTCCACAGATGTTTTGCTTGATTTCATTGCCTTAAAATTAGATCAGCGGGGGTGGAAGTCCAGGTTGACTACCATCTGAGTTAGCGCAGATTCTTAGAATGTGACCAGCGGTGTCAAGTGGATACATTGAGCTGTCTTAATTCGTGTAGCCCTGTATGCAATATAAATCAATTAGTATCTCAGAAACTTACGGGGTGGAAGGGAACGTTAAATGCTCAAATCAAATCACACACCCTTAGGTTAGTGTTGTGATTCACGTGGGTTGGTATCATTAGCCACAAGATTGTATCTCGTAAGTTTTTAGTCCTTGTGCTAGCTGAGCCTACGCATGGACTGGTAAGTCTTTGTTTTCCCTTTAATTTACGACATCTCTCACGATAAAAGCAGCTTAATTGGTGACGTTGAATCACTCCTTCTTGTGGCACTGTTCCCCTTAATGTAACACTTCCATGCTTTTATATCGGTGAGTTGTGAATCGTGTTTATTCACACCCCTTAATCCAGTCGCTCCACCTCCGACACAGGGTTCCCCTTTTCGCAGCATGTCGCCGGCCGCGCGGATCCTCAACTCCCCCTGCATTGACACGAATATTTATCTTGGAGCATCCCCACACCTAGGTCTCGATGTTAGCGCATGTAACACACACACACACACACACACACACACACACACACACACACACACACACACACGACACAACGACACCAACGTGGTTGAGCTCCGAAGTAAACGGTTGTGTCCACGTCCTTTCTGGTCTTCTTCTTCATTGCGGGTATCAGGCAAGCGTAATCGGGCCAGGGTCGAATCCGTGGTCCCGGCGTGATTCAAGACCACATGCTGGGGCCCACAACAGTTGTATGTACACCTTTTCACAGAAATCAGAGTTTCTTAAGCAGTTATTATTTACAAGTAGGACCTATCGTTGTCAAAAAATGCAACACTTCATAGGTGGTAGGGCTAGATAATAAAATACATCCAAATAAAATTTTTGTAGTCTCTCCGACGATTTAGGCTGTATGTCACCTGTCGCAGTCCATCCAGCTCCATCCTCTGGGGACTGCTTTCAGCGAGGATTTCGAATCTCCGGGGAGATTTGTGCCGCACATGGCTGTCGCCGTCTTCCTCGTAGAACAGTCCATCGGCGTACGGCACTCGCCTGGGCTGGAAGTGGATGAAACGCACCCGGTTGTATAGATCGTCGTCCTCACCACCCCAGCCCTCGAAGGAGTTCGACGCGCCATTCATCGCCTCGATGTGAGGCCGTCTGAACAGAGTTACGCCTCCCAGCAGCGTGTCGTACATTCTGGAATAAATGGAAGCACAGTTTAAAGTCGGTGGACATTGCTGAGTGTCAATCGGAATCCGCTTTGGTTGTGAATGTCTACGGGCTTGACTCAAGATGGCAGATGCCTCGAAATAACAGACCACGCACGGCTACTAGTTCTCTTACCATATGCCCTTATGAAGCCTGCAGGACGACAGGGGGCTATTACACAGGTGAAGACCGTTCCTAATTTGACTTGTAAATTGCACGAACCGAGCGAATCACATGGGCACTAGCGGGCATGTTTGTCAGCACTAAATGGTCAGAGCGACGATTAATCTTAGCCGTTTGCTGGCCATTGTTGAATGAATAGTGTCGCCAGAACAGGTCATTTCGTAGACCAAGTAGGTGCCAGTCTTCGAGGCTCTACGTAGATTCCGTGGCAAACGGAATTCGGGCTTAAATTGAACTCAAATAGTTTGCAGAACATTTAGACGGAAACTCAAGGCAATCCAGGTACCTCCTACACCCCCACCAATGACTGAGGGCTTCATGGAGCTACACGGTGACGTACTGGTTTTGTCGAAAGAGACATTGATGGGAATTGAGGATGGAATTCCAGATTTCTTAGGGACGAGTGTCCCAATTTCGGTTAAATCAGATTCTACGGATGAACAAAAGGTGGCAGCGTATCACACCACGATAGACACCTAATGAATTCTTTTCAGGGAATACAAAAGTCCTGAAGTAGAGTCGTTGCCTAGGCAACAAATTGCCAAAATGAACACTTGTAGACGAAAGCCCACACATCTCGACATTACAGCTGACCCAGTAACTGGAGAGGTCAACTCTGTTAGATTCAGAAATGTCTTTATGTCTTAATATTTTTAAGCATTAAAGGTAAGAAAGACTTGAACCACCGGCAAGGGCGTTCCAACCCAACAATCGTGTGAATTTCGTGTGCTTGTTACTCCACAACAACCCAGTTATCGATAAAACTATTTATCGCGCAAAACTGTGCCAATTTAGCACAAACAAATCATGACGAAAGTCAGGTTACCAAAATGCTTCTGATTTCTCACCATCCTTATTTCGTGTCAAAACTCTCGTAAGCAAACATTGCTTCTATTGACAACGTGAAATGTGGCTGGTGAAGGCCAAGCAACTGTCATAGTAGTGTAAGAATTGCGTGTTCGGAAATTGGCAGAAAGTAACGCTTAGAGCAGCCCAACTCGCATCATCCTCCAATGCTCAAACTAATGTCTGGTCACATTTGCGGGGCCGTTGGCTCCAGCCAAATGGCCGTCCACCTCAGACAAACAAACGGACATTCCGATTGACAGTCTCCATTGACATTGGAGAGTCATTAGAGGGGAAACAGTAATTAACACCCCCAACCCCCACTGAATGCACATGTGTTAGGTGTGTTGAGGTGTCAGAGGAAGACCGCAGGTTGAATCGCACCACCACGTTAAGCTGTCTGGTCATCAACAGGTGTGATGCCGAATCGAAAATGGCGTGGTTCCAACCCATGTCGTGGTGGAAATGTTAACTCAATCTGTGGGCTCTGAAGTGGAGTCTAGTGTCACCTCTACCGAAATTCATAAACTAAGCATGAATTTCCGGAAAGAGCTGATCAGCTCGTGTGGTGTTGAGTAGCGCTACGTGACTTTTCGCCTTGTAGAAATATTTGGGCTGAAGGCACAATCTCTGGAATGAAATTAGTTTGAGAATTGGCTCTACGGGTCGGCACTGCCTGCCGATGGATGGATGAATGTTACGTTTACCCGTAACAATGGAGAATACCTCTCAAATAACGGTACCAGATCCCTCGCTGAAAGCTAGAACCGACCTTCCCAGGCTAATGCCAGAACAAGACCAGAGCTCGAGTAGAGAGCTTTATTCACGTGAGCCACGTGCAGAGAAGAAGTGATATCGAAAGTAATTCAAGTCAAGGTTGACCTTGACTTGGTAAAAGCGTAACAAAATAAATGTTAATAAATTAATGTAAATAAAATCAGAAACCAATCTTGGGGAATCGTGGATCCCCATCAATGAATTGCTGGACCACAGAGAATTAGCCTGTATTTCCAAGTGATCGCCTTACAATTAACCCAACAGTAGATTCACTTTTAGCAGTCTGTCAACTCACTTCATGTCAATCACTGCTCTTTCAGTAGGCTTTGCAGGAGTGGTGTTAAATAGAATAATTTTTTTATCCCATACGCAGCGTTTTTGCCTGGCCTTCACATTTCAGGAGTGCATCATCAGATGACCAATCAATCACTTAAGTAGACTACGTAGACTAAATGACACTAGCGTTGCTCAAACAGTTGTGGTTTAAGCCTCAATTTACACCAGCCTCTACACGGCAACAGGCTAAACGCGAGGCAGTGGCAGTCAGAATGAATAAGACGCGAGTAAAGGCGGCATTGGGAATGTTGGCATATCATTCAAAGAAGAACGTATAATCGTGTTTTTACTGTCCTCAATTATATGAAATTTACAAGACATTCCTTCAGCCTAACTCAAGGGACTTCATCCAAATAATGACAAATAATACAAACGCGATCACTTTACAAAAAGAACAGCTTACATTTTACCTCCATTTTTGTATTTTACGTATCTGAGGAGTTGATGTGGTCGGAAGAGGCACTTATAGGGTGTTGTCATGAGCATTGGTAATTTATCCACGTCGTGGAAGGCGTAGCAGTCGCCTCCAGCCAATCGATCGTTCACGTTGGCTTTAAATATCTCCGATAATGCCGCGTTGAAGAGCTTCGCCCTATTGAACGGCCTTGAGCCATGTTGTTCTGCCACCAAAATCTCATACTGAACGTCCTTGATCTTCAGGTAAGGTGTCATGTGCAAGAGAAATGCAAGCAAATCCCGCTTCCGATCGCGGTAAGGCACAATTATGATGAGTTTCTCGCGGTCACTGCGTGGCCTGTCGGGGCTACAGACCACGCGACTCGCGAATTCCGCAGCCAACTTGTCAATATCCTCGAGGGTCATGTTGGGCGAGAAGAGGAGTTTAGCTGCGGCAACGCTCTCGACTGGATCCATGTTCGTAATGTTGCATGTTGCCGCGTCTGAGTCCCGCGGAATCCCTCTTAGCACATTGATTGATTTAGTGAGGATGAAAATGGCAATAGCTGACATGATGACTGTGATTGCCAAGCATTTAGTGTGCAGACGCATGGCTGGCTGCAGTAACCTTAAATTAAAACGCCATTTTTTTATGTAAAGTCATGGTACTCAAGCCACACACTTAGCCTCCACGCGCGAATCTGATTGGTTGGTTCGTCTCCTCGCGTTACACTCGCGCAATATGAAGCCCAAACAATGGACCAGTGGGTTGCACTATAAATAAGCGATTTACCATATTTTCCGTTCCACTTGGATGCAGAGGTTAGGCAGTACTAAGGTATGAACAATTCTTCTTAATGTTACTTGCGATGATATCACTCGTTTACGTGCTGATTCACCTCACATGCATGATTTGCGTCAACCTTCAGAAACCTGAGCTAAATGTTTACCTTCTGAATTGAACAATCGAAAGCTTAGTCGCGTTTTCTGGACTTGTCTAAGGCAGTAATGCATTAGCGTACCGCACATCGCGGTATTGCTTAAATCAACTGCACGTGACTCCTGCATTCAATCAACGTTATGCTAATGTATGTAAGCTTAAGTAGCTGTTGTTTCTATTGGTGGCGTCCATTCGCCAGACGTGCAATGTCGCGGAAAATGGAGGTGTGCTGGATTTACTATTCTGGGTCTGCTTTGGCGTGGAAGTCTGCCTAATGTGAAAATTTCAAAGCAGAATTTGATATATATAACCCACGATCCAGTTGGTTCAAACGAGCCACTCGTGCTTCGTCTCTGTTGGCCTATTTACTGTTTGGAAATTGTTATCATCAGGCGAAATCAACTGTTTAAGTCAAAAAGTACATTTCTCTGATTGATGGCCACTCCATGCGTTAAAAATCAGCCTGGAAAGGGCGGAAGTTCATTATTATCTATGCGGTTATGGATTAAATCCTGCAGTCACGTTGCGCGAATCAAATGATGATCTCGAAAATTCTGCTGTGGGCCCCAACATGTGGTCTTGAATCACGGCGGATCCACTGAATTAACCCTGGCCTGATTATGCTTTCCTGATACCCGCGATGAAGAAAAAGGCCGGAGAGGACGTGGACACGACCGTCTACTTCAGAGCTAAACCACGTTGGTGTCGTGTGTGGGGTTTGCGCGTGTGTATTTATACCTCGGATGTGTGAGCCATAAGTGAGTTAACATCGAGACCTAGGTGTGAGGATAATCCAAGATAAATATTCATGCGAATGAGGGGGGAGTTGACGATCCGCGGGGCTGGCGACATGCAGAGAAAAAGGGGAACCCTGTGTCGGAGACGGGGCGATCGGATTAAGGGGTTCACTAAACACGATTCACGACAACTCGATCAGGTGCTTATGATGACAGATGTTTTAGGTATATCGTCTATACATCTTTGAAACATCCTGACCCTGCGGTGTAGGCCAAAATGCATGTCTTTTGGAGCTCTCGATTTCTAGTACTCAAACAGGACTAAATCAAATCTTGGAAAAATTTTGGCGAATCTATGCACCATGGGGAAGTAAGAAATTTTTGGAATCTGGAGCTGATTAGGAACCGTAACAAAACTGATGGCTAGGGAATTCTCACAGTGACGCCAATCTCCAGGTTATATGTGCGGTGCAACGTTCAAAGCACGATGCGGATCCTTTCAAGTTTAATCTACGCCATACAAGCCTCCATTAACTCCACTTTCAGGCGATCCCTCAATGAGACCTTCCTAGTATCTTGTCTAAGGAGCATTCTGGCATTTTCTAAGGCTTCGTGTAGAGCTCCTTGACGATATTTCCGCACATTTCCCCCCGACGACATCCACCAGCACGCCCACGTGAAATAGGCTAGGGTCGTTAGCGAGTGTTTTCAGTGGGCATGACCCCGCGGCAAACGTCTGCACTCAACAACTCACCCACGCACCCAACCAACACACCCATCTCCAAACAGTGAACAGCACCTCCGAATGTACCGTGCGTGATTATTAGGTACCACGAGGTAGATCGTTGCATTCAGACAACTGTCGCCAGACGTGTTACAGTCAACCTCCAATTCACTCGTGTCTGCACACAAACCTGTGGGATTTTCACGAGATGGCCTTCATGAGAGTAGCGCGATTACGGCGTCCAGCTCAGTGTCCGACATGCCTCAAGTGGAGGTTTGTAGTCTGCACTACTTATGAGCCCGTCAGTAAGTCATCATGCACGAGTGCATTGACTCTTCGCTTTCGTGGGTTTAGTCGTCGCTTGTCCGCGACACGCACTACCGCCTGCGCCACACTTGCTGGGGCCCAATACCACGCAAAGTACCCAAGGAAGAGACAAGACCGGACGTGGCTGATACGACCGTTTTGCTCGACAACTCAACGAAACTACGGTGTCGTGTGTGTGTGTGTGTGTGTGTGTGAGTGGGTGGGTGGGTGGGTGGGTG